TGTTCTTGTTCATTCAGGAAAGCATATCTCCTTGCTGTTCTCTGGAAATCTGCATTCAGTTGGGTAAATCTTTTTTTTCACCTTTGCCTTTCACTTTCCTTCTTTCCTCTGCTATTTGTTAAGCCTCATCAGACAGCCACTTTGCTTTCTTGCATTTCTTTTTCTTTGAGATGGTGGCGATTGCTGCCTCCTGTACAGTGTCACGAACCTCTGTCCATAGTTCTTCAGGCACTCTATCAAATCTAGTCCCTTAAACCTATTCTTCACCTCCACTGTATATTCATCAGGGATCTGATCTAGGTCAAATCTGAATGGCCTAGCGGTTTCCCCAACTTTCTTTAGTTTAAGTCTGACTTTTGCAATGAGTAGCTCATGATCTGAGCCACAGTCAGCTCCAGGTCTTGTTTTTATTGACTGGATAGAGCTTCTCCATCTTTGACTGCAAATTATATAGTCAATCTGATTTTGGTGTTGCCCATCCGGTGATGTCCATGTGTAGAGTCGCCTCTTAGGTTGTTGGAAGAGGGTGTTCTCTTGACAAAACTCTGTTAGCTTTTGCCCTGCTTCATTTTGTTCTCCGAGGCCAAACTTGTCTGTTATTCTGGTTACCTTTTGACCACCTACTTTAGCATTCCAGTCCCCTATGATAAGGAGGACATCTTCTTTCGGTGTTAGTTCTAGGAGGATTAGAGGGACTTTTTTCCTCATCTAGGGTGGCAGATTATGCTGTGCAAAAAAATAAAAAACAACATTTAAATTTTTGTTTTGTGCATGTAACTAAAAATGTCTGTGGTGAAAGAAACAGAACCTGTCTCAATATTATAATACTGGGCACTTGCATAAGGCTTTCTAAGAGCGCACATGAAGTCTTTGGAACAATCTCAGTTCTTACAGCTGGGACTGAGAGGTGGTTCTGTACTTGTGGGTAAACTAAGGCTTGAACTGCGGATTTTACAACTCTTAACCATATCCACTTTTTGTTCAAATATATAAATTACTTGGGCTTCATTCAGCAAAATGATTACAAGAAATTAAGAGTGCACTTAGAGTATCATAGTATCGCAGATCCTGATGAATTGGAACTGTTCTCAGAAGGGAGGGGTAACTCTTTATTGCATACATTCCTATGGCAAGAGTGAAATACAGTAGTCAAGCATTATTTGTGTTGCTGTGTGACACTGCTTAAAATGACCTGTGGCAAATATCTTTGCTGTTTAGAAATGCCTTGAATGTGGTGAAGAATGACTTAATTGCAAAAGTGGATGAACTATCTTGTGAGAAAGATGTACTAAAAGGAGAGTTGGAAGCTGTCAAACTAGCCAAACAAAAGCTTGAAGAGAAGAACAAGGAATTGGAGGAGGAACTTAGAAAGTGAGTGTAATGCACTCCATGTGTATTGTGGCAGAGAGGACCATAAAAGACATTTGGGTTAATGTAATTGGTACCTCTTGCATTTCTTTAGAGCCCGAGCAGAAGCAGAAGAAGCAAGGCAAAAAGCAAAGGAAGAGGATGATGTATGTAATTGAATTGACCTTTTATCTAATCTTTTTTTTCTTTTCTGCTCTATGTAATACTGCCAAATGTTATAACTTTTCCATGGAAATATTGTGGAGAAGTGTGTATTTACTATGGGCTGTGTGCTTCTCCTTTGTTTACTGGGCATAGTTTGCAACTGGATTAGTTTACTGGATCATAGTTTGCAACTGGATTACAATGGGACGAGGATTTTTTGGGTAGGGGGTGTTCTAAAAATATCTGCCTTTTTTGTTTATTTAGGTCCCGTTCACACGTGGCTATTTGGTCCGGGAGCGGGACAGTTCGGGGCCGGATCAAACCGGCGCGATCACACCACCACATCTGGGAAGCGTCTTGCTTCCGTGGCCGAACTGTCCCTTTCCCGGGATAAGCCGCGCCAAACTAAACCACCTATCTAGGTGGTTTAAAGGAAAGCGGCGTGGCAACCGGGGCGTTTGATCGCCGGCGCTTCCTTGCGCCGGCTCAACCCCGGCCCGGATCCGAACTGCGCATGCCCGAACATGCGCAGTTCGGCCGGCTCCCGTTCGGGCCGTGTTTTCTCCCCGGCGTTTGATCGCGCCGGGGAGAAAAGGCGCCGCGGCCAGGGGATCCGTGGGATCCCGCCGCGGCGCCTCAATGTTGGCGCGGCTTTTAAAAGCCGCGCCTTAAGAGGCTTTTCCCCTGCCGTGTGGCAGGGGCCTTTCAGAAGCTTCCATTTGCTGCCATTGTTTCTTCCAAGCCACTACTGCATGTTAGGCTTAGCCATAACAGCACCTGAATCATTTTGAATTTGCTATGCTGCCATTCTGTAATTCAGAGGTATTGGAGCCAAGAAATAATTAAAAAAACCCTATAATCCTTTCTTTTCCTTTTGTTGGCATTTTTGTTCTTCTCTCCTTGACCATCATCCCCTCCCTGGTATGCAACAGAGTGATATTCCTACTGCTCAGAGGAAACGATTCACTCGGGTTGAGATGGCACGTGTCCTGATGGAAAGAAATCAATATAAAGAGAGGCTGATGGAGCTTCAAGAAGCAGTGCGATGGACTGAGATGATACGGCAAGTAGAGAAACTTTGTTTTGGGGTGTGATGAGAGTGGTTAGTTCCCAGTAGATCCTTGAGTTAGTAGTTGCTCTTTGTGGCTTTAGAGAGAGAGAGTTGAGTTACTTTGAAATCTGTCTAATAGCCCATTGCATTGTGAACAAGTAGATTAACTATCCATCCACAGTAAGACTAAAATTGTTTGTATCATCCAGCTGTATCATCCATAACATGAGACCTCTGAATTCTATATTTCTAATTTTTTTAGGCCACCATAAGCTACCAATAGGTAAGAGAGGGAAATGTGGTAATTGTCTTATTAGATGCTGCATGATAGCAAAACCTGTATCTTCCAGTGCTTAAAAGAAAGGTTTGACGCATATACCCCATTTTAAAAAACAGGATTCTTGAGGATCCCCACTCTCCATTGTGGGAAAACTGTCACTGTTGACTGGAGGGGGGGGGTATATTAAAAAATCCCAGAAGAAATAGAGATGTGTCGTGGCATACAGATGTCTGTTTCCTGATAAGGCAACCCAAGTTGCGAGGAAGGGGTCAGAGTGATGGCTTCTGTCACTTTGTTAAGGCTGTGTTGAGAGAGATCCCTCATTTAGCAGGTTCTCTTCCTTTTCCCTGGAGCTGAGGGATGTTGATGCGTAAAGGCAAGCTTTGTCATGTGTGTCAGATTGCTTCCAGGCTGGCCCAGTTTACATCATGCTGGCCCAGTTTACAACATGCTGGTGTCAGAATTATTGCTGAATATGCCAGGCTGGAGCGTTGGTTTTGTCTGAGCCACAGTCTTTTATCATGAACTTCTTTTTCACAGTGAAAGATCAGCCTATGATGGACGTGTGTGTGTGTCTGTATCTGTGTTTGTGTGTACATAACTTTTCCCTCCGTCTACTGTTCACCTCCCTGCAGTTCTACTCTTCAAGTACTTTTCTCTATTTTGTGTATCAGAGCTTGACAGAGGAAAACAAACACCTGCAAGGGAAGGGGAGGGGGCAGATTGCAGGGAAGGAAAGAGCATGTCTGCATGGGGTGTTTGTGTGTGTGTGTTCATAGCCTGCACAGCCTATTGTTATCAACAGTAAACCCCACCTTTCTTCTACTGATCTGTGTTTTCAACACACATCTCTGCTGCAGTTGTGTCTGGCTTGGTCCTTCCCTTGGCACTCCCATGATTAACATCACATTTTGCTGCCATCTAATGGCCCAGTGTCATTACAACATTTTTAGTTCTAGCTAGTGACTACAGAAGAATTTTTTTCTGTTCTGACTAACTAGGATTGTTCTGCATCAGTCAAATCTGCAGTCACATGCTGCAAAGAATTTGTTTTTCCTTTCCCTGTATATGCGTTTAGTATGCCTTCTGCAGCCCATTATGTTGGGTACTTGCTGTTCTCACTAAAATTCTAAATATTCTTATGGGAGCCTTAACCATCTACATCAAACCCTGTCACTGTTTTGGCCATTTACTGCTTTTACAATATCACTCCTGTGAACATAAGAACATAAGCCAGTGTTGGATTAGACCAATGGCCCATCCAGTCCAGCACTCTGTCACACAGTGACCAGAAATACCAGGTGCCATCAGGAGGTCCACCAGTGGGACCAGGGCACTAGAAGCCCTCCCACTGTTGCCTCCCACCCGCACCAAGAATACAGAGCATCACTTGCACTAGACCAAGAGTTCCTTTCTATACCTGGTGGCTAATAGCCACTGATGTTTATCCAATTCCCTCCATGCTTGTAGCTGCCACCACCTCCTGTGGCAATGAATTCCATGTGTTAATCACTCTTTGGGTGAAGAAGTACTTCCTTTTATTCATTCTAACTAGACTGATCTTATGATGCAGGGTACCCCTTTAGCTTTGTTTATCCCTTAAGGAATTTACTAAAAAATGAGTAGATATTAATGTCGGAGGCTTTTTTGGAATGGGAAGTGATCAAAAAGACAAATAGAGTTCTAGGAGTTGTGTCCTTTTTATGGCTGCTTATATTGATATTAAAATGCTCTTAAAATCGCTGATATACCTGCTCATGTTTTAAATACTACTCGCTAGGGTACTTGATAATGTACAGGTGGTCTAATGTTGGACTTTCATGCCAGAGACAATAGCTTTGGGCAATTTTAATACCTTTAGATTTCATAATGTCCCAGCTGTTTGCAAGAAAATGTTATTTTTAAAAAGCAACAACATAGTTTGTCCTCATTACATGTAGGTTGCTGTTTCATGTTTCTGGAATTGCTCCCTTAATTTTTTGTGCTCCTCCTTCCCAAGCCCTGTAGCTTTTCTTGCCTTAAGTAGGCTAGTAATTTTTTAAAAAATTGCTTGGATCGAAATTTTCTGTAGCAGGGTTTTCTTTCTAGTCCTGGCTGAACAGACAGTTTCTTACGTCTGTGTTTCCACAAAAGCTGTATTAGAATATACAGTCAATGCTCTTCAGGTTTCTCTAAATAGTGGTTTTGTTAAATAACAAACTATCTTCATGTGCAAATGCAGTGATTTTACATTTCTGTCTTAGTATTCTGGTTTAATTTAAAAAATGAAGTATCTTGTTCTTTTATTAAAGTCATCTATCTCTGTTTGATAGCATGTTGTTTTGCAATCAAGCCTAAGACACTGGTTTCTCTGACACAACGCAGACCATTCTAGGTGGTCATTTTTCTTCCTGCTTAAAGAATTAGCTCATGGTTCTTTTTCTTCAGGGCATCAAGAGAAAATCCAGCCATGCAGGAGAAGAAGAGATCAAGCCTTTGGCAATTGTAAGTCTCAAAATAAACAAGTATTTTGTTCTAAAATACATATATAATTGGTCTTTTTGTTTCTTTAGAAGCTAAGGGACTAAAACACAAATCTATTTTATTTTTTTGCTATCTAGTATGCCAACTGGGTAAGACTGATCTTAAGGACAAATTGTATTGTAAGATGCATCTTACAATGTTGATTGTGCACGTGGCAGAGAAATGCAGTTGCCATAATCTGATTGTGTCAGGGTTTTAACAAATAGGAAGCAGTGTCCTTATATAGCAGGTCAGAGCTTAGTAGCTGCTGTTCTGTGAATATTGAAATAAACTGGAGGTGCTTTTTTGTGTGGTTTGCATATAATTCTAGTAGGTGTCTTTGCACCATCTTTTTAGACATCTGGGCATTCTCCAGCCCCTGCATATAAATGTCCATTCTTCTCTATTTTTAGTTTGGAAATGCATGGGATCATTTCAATGAGTGTTATGAGTGCTTAAATAGCTGCCAGATCTTCATTGTGGTTCCTGTGCATCACACTGACAGGTTAGGCTCCTGTGCCGGCTCCAATACGGGAAACTTCTAGCAAGCTCAGAACAGGACTGGAGCCCCTCCTCCCAGCATGCACAGGAACTCCAACCACGCATGCCCAGAGGGTGGGGCTACAGTATCCTGCCAGTTCTCTTCTCACTGCCACACTGATCAGTCGATCTGCTTTGGTTTGGGAACTTCTTATTGTGAGGGAAAGTTATTTTCTTTAGAGTCGTCTCTTACCCTTTAGCTCATTTTCTCTCTTTTTCTCCTTTTTTGTTTTTATTATTGACCTAATTCCCCCCCCCTTAGTTTTTTGCCATCTCCGACGCTGTTGGATCCCCCCCCCCCATATTTCTTTCAGATCTGTCTTTTTGTCTATGGCAGATTGTTGGGGGTTCTTTAAACGCTGCACCCAGTGCGAGTCCAAGCTTGCTCTGCCAGACGGTCATTCCCTGTGTCTACTCTGTCTGGGAGAGGTGCATAGGACTGGCACCTGCGTCCACTGTGTGAAATTCTCGAACCAGACACCTAAAAACAGAGCAGCAAGACTCCAAGCGGCCCTCCTGGAGTCAGCTCTCCAACCCAAGCTGATGGCCTCCACTCAGCTTGAAGTGACTCAGAAATCGACTTTGATCGCCCCCACTGAGCACTGATGGATTGCCCTCGATTGACGCCGAAGGAGTGACCCCGATCGTTTGATGTTTTGGCGGCTACTGCCTCCATTAGCAGGTCTTTGACATCATGGCCTCTGGGACCGACTGCTGCATTGACTGCATTGACACTGTCTTCTAAGAAAATGAAGGATGGCAAGGGTTTAACCAGGGGTCATTTCGTAGAAAAAGAGCTAGGGGAACTCATTAGCATATGCCACACCCCCTGACATCAGGGGCCCGGCGGTGGACCTGCAAGGCCAGCGGGAGTGCGAGGAAGCCCCGCCAAGGCCCTCCCTGGCCCCAGGCAGGCAGGGGTGGCGAGAGGCGGGGAGGAAGCAACTTACCCTCCCTCTTCTCCTGCCTCCTCCTGGCTGAATGAGGGCTGGAAGCGGGGCGGCCGGAAGCAGGGGGCGAGGCTTCGTCATGTGCCCCGCCCCCCTGCACCTCACCCAGGGAAACTGTGTTTCCCCGCGTTCCCCCCCGAAATGACCTCTGGGTTTAACTAAGGTTAAACACAAACACGTTAAAGCTGACCCGAACCATACTGTGGTGAGTGCTGCAGTGGGCTCTGACGCACCAACAGCTGCTCCCCTCACCCACTCTGTTTCACCGAACCTGACCAGTGTCCCAGCAATACCACCAATTATGTTACTGGGCTCACCGATTCGACAGTTGGGTTCCATGGTGGATCGATTGGCACCGAGTGATCCCTGATGTCGAATAGGTACTGCCTCACCAAGTAATGCCCCTCCAGAGCTCCCACTCCTCGGCCTCTGACTGCTCTAGATCCCGATTGGGATCAGTCACTGACACTGTTTTAAACATAGGCTGGAATGCTCAGCCTCCTGTCATAGCAGCTCATCCCTGAGGCTTCAGGACTGATCCCCTCACAATCAATTGCAGGCTACCTTTGCTCTACCGCCGTCTTCCATGATGGTACCGTGGGATCAGAGGCAACTGCAATACTTCTATGGTGCCTTCCTGCTAACTTTGGTGCTGCCGTGGCTGAATCCAGGAAGGCAGGTGGATTGGGACCAACAATCAGTCGCTTTCTGCCGTTCATGCTCCCCTACCAGGGACCGTCCTCCCTCGACGCCTGTGTTGCCACCTGTATCTGCCAAACCCTCGACGCTGATGGTTCCCCCTGTTCTCCATGACTCCAGACTGAATCCATTGGTACTGACAACTTCAACCCTGGCAGGGCCATCACAGCCTCCGTCCCACCTGATGCAAGTCAACCCATCCCTGCCTAATATGTCAGGGGCTGAGGATTTGTCTCACTCTTTGGCGAATGAATTTGATGGGGATGGATAGGGGGTCCTGGCTACTCCCTCAGGCCCATCTCCAAACCAAGAGGTGGCCAAGGACCTGCGTATTTCCCTGTCGGAAGACCTTTTGTTCTCTGGTGGTCCAGTGAGTGGGACAGTCCTTCCTTATGGGATTAGGCTTCTCCTCACGCAAGGCCGGTCTCATTGATTGATCCAGCTGGGGGAGGGGCCTATCCCCTGGGCTTCCCCATCTTACAGGCCCTGCCAACGCATCAGGATGGAACTCAGCTCTGGAGAGCAAAGATCCAGCAAAGGCCCTGGCGGACCATGTTGGGCTGCAGCTGGCAGCAACAAAAAACAGTCCTGGGGAAGGAAACCTTGATTGAGTCACGATTGGCAGCATTCAAGGCAGGCCAGCGGCACAGGGAGACCTCTGGTGGGTGCGACCCAGTTCACAGACTCCCTCAGGACTCTTCCCCTTCGGGCTGGAGAGTCCTCCTCTGCCTCCCTGCATCCAGGAGAGGAGAGCAGGGAGTTTGCGAAGGCATTGGGGGAACTGCCAAGAGAGAAGTTTCTGAGTGTAGAGGACTTGGTGCGGAGAATGACGCAGCCGGGAGGATTACCCTAGAGGACCTGTGGTGAGCAACTGCCGGTCATCGGGGATTGTGCATGGGCACTTGGGGGGGAATGAGTGGATACTCCCCTCCCCCCATCCCACCTCTCCCTACAAGTAGAGCCCCGGGAGGGGGCTGAGGGCAGGAGAATGCCGAAATAATAGCAGAGTCTCTGTTTCTATATAGAGAGTATTTACATGTATTTACACTGAACACTGGAGATAGTCACACAGACTTTCAGTAGCAAATTCACTATACAGAGTGACAAAGTGCTACGCATACAGTTGATCACAAATCAGAGATAGACAGCAATGAACAAGCTGCAATATATATTTACATCAACCAATCAGGTTACAATATTCACAATAGCTGAGTCATGGTGACTGTTCCAGAAATCTGATTCAATCTCAGTCACCTGACTATCAGATTAGATCAGCATGATCTGATACATCAGCTCATGACTCACTGACATCTTGCCAGCAATATAACCAAATGCTGTCAGTCCAAACCTTCAAACCCACCCAACACCCCCAAACCTAGCAACTTCAGATACCGGGGGATGTGAGGTGTTCTCTCGTATGGTGGGAATATGTCTCCAGTTTGACAATGGGCGCTCCCTTTCATCCTCTTACGCCGGTGGTCACCATCACCACAGATGTGTCAATGTGGAGTTGGGAGGCACATCTGAATGGCCTGTGTGTGGGAGCTCAGTGGAAGGCACACCTGAGGAGTTCCCACATAATTTTTTTAGAACTCATGGCAATTTGGTATGCCCTACAGTCCTTCCTACTATTGATCAAGGGCTGAACAGTTGTGATCCTGACAGACAATACAACTGCCCTCGCCTATATAAACAGACTGGGGGGCACTGTTTCACGCCATCTTTGTCACTTGACTCTGACTCTGTGGAAATGGTGTCTGGAACACGACATTTGGATATCAGCAACTCATCTTCCAGGTGCCCAGAACATGTAGACAGATGCCCTCAGCAGGGGGGGACACACACACACAATTGCACAAATGGAAACTGAACTGGAAGTATCTGCAACCCATTTTCCGGCAATGGGGCCACCCACAAATAGATGTCTTTGCAACACGCCAGAACTCCAAATGTCCTCAGTTCTTCTACAGAGGGGGAACGAATGCTCTCTTTCTGAGGGAAGAGCTCTTGCTTCCCTGGACAGGGAAATTGCTATTTCTTTCCCCCCCAATTCCTCTCCTGACAAGGGTGCTGAACAAGATCTTGCGGCACAAACCAGACTGTATTCTAGTGACTCCTTGGTGGGCCGTGTCAACCATGGTTCCTTTTACTGCTTCACTTCTCCAACAGGACCATCCTCCACTTCCCCTGTGTGTCAGACCTTCTCCTAACATCGGAGGGACAGGTCCTGTATCACAACGTGTCACACCTCAAGTTAACAGCCTGGAGAATACTCAGTGAGTCTTCTCTGACAGGGTAGAGACTGTCCTTTTAAATAGCAGGAAACTGTCTACTCATTCTTCACATGCTTATAAATGGCCGAAGTTACTTGCATTCCTCAGACTGTACAAGGGAGACCCCATCAGTGTCAGACGGCATTGCATCTTTGACTTCTTTCATTTGCAGATGCAGGCCTCAGCCACTCTTAACTCAGAGTCTACCTGGCAGCGATATCCGCTTTCCATCAATGACTGGACAATACTTCAGTCTTTTGTTCACCCTGATTCTAAAAGATTTTTGAAGGATCTGCTACCGTTTTACCCACTGGTTAAACTACCAGTGCAAGCCTAGGATTTGCCCATGGTGCTATGCAGGCTTACCTGTAAACCCTTCGAACCCATGGCTACCTGTGAGTTGAAGTTTTTATCCTGGAAAACAGCATTCTTAGTAGCAGTTACAGCTGCTGGCAGAGTGAGCAACCTTCTAGCCTTCCGCCATGATGCTCCATATTTAAACTTCCTGCCAGATGGTGTAACCTTGACTCCGGACATTTTTTTCCTGCTAAAGGTGGTCGCAGAATTCCTCCTGAATAGACAAGTTGTCCTACCTGACTTTTATCCAAATCCTAAAACAGAGATCAAGCATTTCGGGCACACCCTAGATGTTAAGCGGGCGCTCTTGTTCTATCTGGACAGGACCCATAGGTTTCACAAGGATCCCCATATCTTTGTGTCTTATGCCGCTCATACCGTGGGACATAAAATCTTGATGCAGAGATGATCTAAATGGATTGTAGGGACTATAAAGTTTTGCTATTTTCTGGACAAGAGGCCTTTGCCTATTCAGCCTGGAGCCCACTCTGCCCAAGCAATATCAACTTTACAGCCTTTCTCAGAGGGGCGCCCCTACAAGATATATGTCAATCGGCCTCGTGGGCTACTACAAACACATTCATGAGACATTATGTGGTGGATGTTCGGGCTCAACGTTGTACCAGTATGGGACGTTCGATTCTGCAACCTGTGGTTTCCTGAGATGTTACCAGCATCCTCCTCCAGGTAGGCGCAAGCTTGTTAATCTCCCATGGGTGTGATGCACAGAGACCACGACGAAGATAAACAGGTTGCTTACCTGTAACTGATGATCTTTGAGTGGTATTCTGTGCATTTGCACCACCCACCCCACTGCTGTCAGCCTTCAACTTATTGTCTTTCCTGAGGGTTGGCAGCAGTCAGAAGGAACTGGCAGGATACTGGAGCCCCACTCTCTGGGCATGCGTGGTTGGTGTTCCTGTGCATGCCGGGAGGAGGGGCTCCAGACCCGTTTTGAGCTTGCTAGAAGTTTCCTGGATCGGAGCCAGCGCAGGCGCCTAACCCGTCAGTGTGAATGCATAGATGACCACTACAAGATCATCAGTTGCAGGTAAGCAACCTGTCTTTCTCTGAGAGTGTGAGCTGTGCTGGGTAGTTAATGGCTGCTGTGTTTGGACTAATTTCTTTCCTTCTTTTCATCCTTACTGATTGCTTTGAATTGGACATTGTGTGGAGTGTCTTATGTATATAAGAAACTATGCCCAACAAGACTATCTGTTAGGTGTATTTATGGATATGTCTGTTTCTGCTCCCCCATCTCCCAGTTTTAGCAGGCTTTTCAGCTCCTCGGGCACTACTGCTAAGAAACCAGAACCACCAGTAAATGTTAAATACAATGCTCCAACCTCTCACATTACTCCATCAGTCAAGAAAAGAAGCAGCACTTTATCTCAGCTACCTGGTGACAAATCAAAAGCCTTTGACTTCCTCAGTGAAGAGTAAGCCCTATTTTGCTTGTACTGTTATGTTGATGATAAATAGCAACTTGCCAATCTTGTAGTTGTAAAATAAATTTAATCAATCAGAGGTACCATTCTTTGTGCTTGTGGTAAGAGTAGAGAAGGTATCAATACCTGTGGCAGACTGCTGCAACTTACCAGAAATAAATATCAGTAATCACTGTTAGTCAAATGTCAGCAGGTAGGTTGTTGAGACGTTGCTGTCATATTTGTTTTGTGTAGTTAATGGTTGCTTATGGCATACCCTTGCTTGAAACAACCTGGATTTGCAAACATTTTTGATGTCATGACTCCCAGACAGAGTGCACTACAATCCAGTACTGTGCTACTTGAGTGTGTTGTAACTTATGTCAAAATTCTTCAGGGCCCTTCTGTGTAATCTTTTTCTTTTCGTTGACAGTGTTTCCATTCATAGCATATACATTTTTTTGTCTTGTTTGGGTAGTACTTTTGTTAAGATGAGGTTGCAAGCAGTCAATGGATGTTGGTCTTTAAATAGGAAAACACTGTGTGTCCCTAAAATAATTTAGTCTTTGGTATTAATTGTGTTTGACATTTGTGCAAGTTATGCTGGTACTTTGTGGGTGTAGTTACGATGGAGAGGAACATGTCTCCTTCCCACCCCTATTCAACACATTCCATTCTTTGCTGAAATACTTGCCTAAACAAGCCATACCATTTTGTGAGGTTCTAAAAAGTTGTTTAGAAATTTTGAACGCCCCTGCAAACTTTCGAATGCTTCTAGTCCGGTTCTCTTCCATTTGCTTTTTCTAGTGATCTGAAAATTCCTAATAAAGTATATGGGAAGAGATGGTCCCTAAGTGATCCTGAGCCTAAACTGTGTTATGTTCTCTCATATTCTTACGTCCTTTCTCAGAGTAGTTGAGAGCATTGTACTTGGTTCTCTCATCTCCGCTTTGTCTTCCCAACAACCCTGTGATGTAGGTTAGACAGAGTGACTGCCCTAAGGTCAGTCAGTGAGCTCCATGGCACTGTGGTGATTTGCACCTAGGTCTGGTTGCAATCGTACACACTAATTGCTACATCATGCTGGTTCTTCATGTGGGATCAGAACTTTCCGTTATAACCACCACCTTGAATTCTGCCCCCCAAAAGATGAGGATGCCATTATAGCTGTGCAAGTGCCAGTGTATTGTGCTTATACAGTCCTATATATTATAGTAGTTTTGGGGGGAAAGCCTCCTTTACAGTGATTTATTTCAATCATCTAGAAGCCTGAATCATCACTGCCAGTTAGTGTCAGTGTCTGTTTCCAAACAAAATTGGTAGAAGGCATGCCTGACCATCATCACATCCTGGGCCTCCAGGTATAGCTATGGATCCAGAAGCACTTCAGGTTGTGAATCTGAGAGATCAAAGAGTAAATCCGGTCTGTGATGTGAAGGTCCAACTCTGCTAAGGCATGTGAACTGCCAACCATTGTCATGCTGTGTCAAGAAGTCCATCTTTTATCTGGTTTGCAGAGCACAAGTGTTTTTAAAAGCCCTTAGTGAATGGTGGGATGAGGGGAAAGTTGGGAAGATTTATAGCCATCAGTGCCTTCTGCTGATGGATCACTGGATCCAACCCAGAATATTGAGAAGACATGATGCTTTGAAAGCCTTATTTGGACAATTTCCATAAATCATTTCGACAGAATTCAGAGATAGTTCTAGGAATATCACAGAAGCTAGCACAGTTGTTATGGTGTTCAGGGCGTTTAGACTTAGCTTCTAAATTCAAAGGTTCTCATTTTTTGCCTGTGCCATAGCTATATAAATCCTCCTTCCCCGGTTGTATCTGAACAAATGAGAATTTGAGTCAAGTAGAATGTGTGGAACACAACTTGTATCTGTTTCCCTTTACCCAGGACTGAGGCCAGTCTTGCCTCACGTAGAGAGCAGAAGAGGGAACAATACCGCCAAGTGAAAGCACATGTTCAAAAGGAAGATGGCAGAGTGCAAGCTTTTGGTTGGAGTCTTCCTCAGAAATACAAACAGGTATTACACTGAGGTGATTAAAGATGTCCTTCAGCTACTAACCTCATGACAAAGCATCATAAAACCCCACTTGGATAGTGTGGTGCCCTGTTCCTCTTTGTAGCTGTCCAGTACAGTTCAGAGCAGCATTCATTATTCTCTTGTCTTCAGTTTGATCTTCATAACAACCACCCTGTGAGGTAGGTTAGGCTGAGAGAGACTGACTGGCCCAAAGTCACCCAGTGAGTTTTATGGCAGTTTGGGGGTTTGAACCTGAGTCTCCCAGATCCTAGTCTAACAGTGTAACTGCTACACTAGCTCTCACTGCTCATGTGGTAGGTCACAAGGGGCACTTTTTCACATAAAATTAAATGGAGAAAATATGGTTGAAAATCTGTGTGGAGAATTTTATTGCCAGAAATGATATTCCTAAAGTAGTATTACATGAATTGCTACATGGAATAATGCACTAGGCTAAAATGTTTAACCCAAAGCAATATATAAAACCATCATATAGCACTGCATAAAATTAAAATGCATTGAAAGTGTTATGAAGAATATTTAAAAACCTGGCCAAATGAAGAAAAGTTTCACATTTTCCCCCACCCTCTCCCCAAAGAGTGCAGAGACAGGCTTTGAGTCTGATTACTGATTACTGAATTCCATAGTGAGTAATGAATGCAATGACGCCACCCAAAAGACTTCTCCACAAGTTACTCTTTAGTTGCCTTACCTCATGTGGCAAGGGGTTCTTTGGGTTGAGCCCCATTTTCAGAGCCTCATGGCAGGGGGATGTATATTGGTGATAAATACTGGATATTAGAATGAAGCAGCAGTAGTGACAGCAGCCAGGTCAGCAGGAGGCTTGGCAAGAGGACTTCAGTTATCGCCGCCCCAGCCCCCTTGGTACTTTCAGGAAGGAAAGGGCCCTTAGAGGTGACAGCCGGTGTTGCTTGTCACCTGTTTCTCCCGTGAGGAAACCCTGCTCTGTTATTTGTATAGTTTGTGTTTTAATTGCAATTTTGTAAGAAAGCTGGATGTAAATATAATAAGCATGGTGAAGAGCAGTACAAACTTGGGAAGATTTACAAGAATAGTACAAACTTTCTATGATGCATAAGGAGCAGTAGTTGCAAAGTGGTCATCTTGTAGAGCTGCCATATTACCTTTCTGAGATTACCACAATTCCTTTTGTAATCGGGAAATGTAAACATGAAACGAACATAAACATGAACCCTGGAGTGCCTCCACATTCAGAGGCACTAATCCTCTTAATCCCAGAGCCAGGTGGCTACATCAGGGGACGGCTTCAGCTTCTATGCCCTGCTGTTGGCCATCCAGAGGAACTGGTTGGCCACTGTGTAAGACAGGATGATGGACTAGATGGACTGTTGGTCTGATCCAGCAGGGCTCTTCTGATGTTCTTACATAGCTTAATGTCCCAGCAAAAAATGTGCCGCACAGAGTTTCAGAGTGACTGGCCTGAGGTCATCCAGGGAGTTTCCATGGCAAAGTAGGGATTTAAACCTGGGTCTCTCAGATCCTAATCCAACAGTGTAGCCACTACACCATGCTGGCTTTTATGACTCTATGAATCTGATTCGCTATGGTTCTATGAAAAATCTCCTAATAACACTACTGTACATATGAGTGTGCGTGTATGCATAATAGGTAGTAATATCGCTGTTATATTGTATGTAACTTATAAAAGCACATTTTCAAATACTGGCAAATCAGGCTTCATTAGACTGTTTATGAAAAGTCAACATTTCCCCCCTGGCTAAAGATAAACTGTTGCTGAGAAAAAAATTCTAGCTGTAAAAAGCCACTGAACTGTGGGAAGACTGGGATGACCTCATGTTCAAGCGGCTTGTAATGGAATGTTCAGTGCGCACTGTTTGCAGAAACATATATGTTGTGATAGAAGAGAAGAAAAATTAAAATCAAAACCAGCATTGTGCATAATAAGACTTTTTAATTGGTTGCAAGGCACACATTACCTTATTTATTTATTCCTTTTTCCCTGTGTGTCACTGCCTCTGATTATTCCGTATTCCTTGCTTTGTAAGATGTGTGGTGTTAACTATTTCATTTTTTTCTGCATTTATTTGTTGAAAAAATGCATTTTTATTTATATGGGAAGAAGTCTTTATCTCTCCTGGTTTGTGACATTAAAAGAGTGGATGTATGAATTTATTTTCTCAGATGGCTCAGTATTCTCATCTTGGTGAGACCCATTAAGCACAGAGGCATACTTGGGATAACTTAATGTGATTGAAATAATCTGCATTTTCTTTTATGTGATGTAAATAACTGCCCTCCTGCTTTCTAGATTGTGAATGGCGGCGGCCAGGGTGATAACAAGATGAAGAATTTACCTGTGCCTGTTTACTTGAGACCACTTGATGAAAAAGATACATCCATGAAGGTAGAGTTGTTTACTTTCTCATTATATCAGACCTAACAAGCTACCTGAGCAAACTGCATCTGCTTATGGGAAGGCTTGAGTTTCTGTATAGTGCCCAGGTTAATGTGTAGGTGCTTAATAAAGTATTTACAAGTGGCTGGGGGGGGGGCTTGAGGAACCACTGTATGAGGAGATAAACAGTTTGGAAATCTCTTCCTCCAGTCTGAGCTCTCAGGAGATTGAACAGCCTAAGCTATTCCCCCTACTCCCGTAGCAGTCAGCTGATCTTGATAGGCTGCCCTTTCTAGAGTACATCTAGTCCTTGTTGTACTGAACAGAGAGGGTTTTTGTTTTGGTTAAATTACAAAGTTATATTTTTTTGTACCTTGAGCAGACCTGCTGAGTAGCCCTGTGCTTTGTAGACTGTCTGAGAAATAGGTGTCCTGGGTAGGGTTGCCAAGTCAGAAACTTACCGGAGTGGGAGACTCCCGGCCGTTGTCTGGAGCGTGCGCGCCCCGCATCCACGTCACCCGGAAGTGACGTGGGTACGCTGGGCACCCTGGGGGCGGGGCCAGGACCATCCAAGGGAAAACCATAGAGTTTTCCCTTGGATGGTCCTGGCCCCGCCCCCAGTGTGCCCGGTGTACCCACGTCACTTCTGGGTGACGTGCACATGGGGGTGGAGCTCCCCCCAGGGCCTGATCCGCCGGCGGCGGGGAACGGGCCTCTGGGGCGGGGGTTTCCCCGCCCCCCGGGGGGACTTGGCAAGCCTAGTCCTGGGTAGGATTTATATAATTCTGTTGAGAGAGCTATGATTGGCTGCAGATTTAGTTGGTATGCTAAGTTGGCTGTGTGGGAATGGTAGGGGACAGTATTTGGAGGGGAGATTCTGGTTTGGAGTTAAGTGTGTGCAGAATTACTTACACTAGCGCTGCTGTATCACTGAGTTACGTTGGCATGAAGTTTATTTGCCTTCCTTAACAATCTGTTGCCTGGGGTTGTGCTCCTAGAACACTATATAGCATGTTTTCCAACAATCTATTTGTAACTAGTAAGATCAGTACCATACTCTGTAGCGTCAACATATTTTTGATACAATTATAAAGATAGGGTGTTTTCAGGGCTCTAGTCGGGGGGGAGCTCTCAGGTACGGAGCTCCGGAAGAGAACCTCTAGGGGGCGGGGCGGTCACGTGGTGAAGCCCCGCCCCCTTCTTTACCCCGCACTCTGCTTCGATCCTCATTCCGTTTGGGAATGAGGATGAAGCAGGAGGGTAAGTAGCCGGGCCTTCTGACACACTTCCGGTGATGTCAGGGGGTGTGGCCTTCTGTCACTTCCGGTGATGTCAGGGGGCGTGGCATATGCAAATAAGTTATGCTAATGAGTTATGCTAATGAGCTCCGGCAGCTCTTTTTCTACAACAAGACCCCTGGGTGTTTTCATTAGGTTTTTACTCTAGGAGCTCAGGATGGATCTCTCCCTTTCTCCATCTGATCCTCACAGAAGCATCCATGTGAGAGGTAGATTATGCTGCCATGAGAGTGAGTGAGTGGCTGGCCCAGGGTCAGCCAGTGAGTTTCAAGATGAGTAGGGATTTGAAATTGGATCTCCCAAGTCCTATTCCAGCAGATATCTGCACCAGTGCACCATGATGGCTCTCCACTGTTGCATAATGTTGGACTATTTATATATGAATGTCTTTTGTCTTTCAAGCTGTGGTGTGCTGTTGGAGTTAACTTATCAGGAGGGAAGACGAGAGATGGAGGTTCTGTCGTTGGTGCTAGTGTCTTCTACAATGATGTAGCAGCTCTGGATGCCAACAGCAACGAACAGAGAAGTGCATCTCAGAGCAGCCTGGATAGATTAGATCAGGAACTCAAGGTATGGCCTAGATGTATGATCAAATAATGAACGAATTTTGAAGGTCTGATAGCACTTTAAGTAAATGGGAGACTTATCAATCTGCTCTTATTTGTTCTGTTCAGCATTCTCTGTATAAATATGTTTGAGTCAGCTTACAACAAAAAGATAAAAGCAATACACACGTCACTTTTTAAAAGCAAAGTGAAAACAGGAGAATAAAGCTGAAGTAATTAAGGAATGAAATTGAAGCAATAAAACTGAAACAAACTCTGGAGGATGGCGGAAGACAGGAGGGCCTAGCGTGATGTGGTCCCTGGGGTCGTGAAGAGACAGACTCAACTGTGTGACTGAACAACAACAAAATATTTAATATGAGTACATAACTACTAAAAGAGCAATCAGATAAAAAGGATGTCAGCAAACCTGAAGGTGAAAACAGTCATGAGCATAACAAAGCAGACATAGGCTTGTGTATATATTTGATTGTGGCACTTTGTATTTTGAAATCATAAAATAAAATACCAGACATAAATTTGGACTCACAAGTAATTTCCATGGACAAAAGAGATTTCCATCCATGGAGCATGACTTTCTTACCTCACCCTCCTATTGCAGCTCACAGTGTCCCCCAAGTGCTGTTCTTGGGGGATAGAGGGACCCCCTGGAATAGTGTGGGGGTGAGTCTGAGGTCTGCTGCAGGAGGCAAGAATTGGTGAAACCTCTTCTCCCGTTTGCAGAAATACTCTGTGGGATACAAATTAGGTTTACTGAAAAGTTTGGGAAAATAATTATTTTTGTTTGGTGCCTAAATAATAGATTTGACACTAGACAAATGCCTGTGGAGAGGAAGTTCCACAATTTGAGTGTCTCCACCTCTGGGCACACAGGGGCCTCAGATGATGATCTAACCACTGGGCAGGCTTGTAGGTGAAGCGATTCTTCAGGTGCCTTCATTCCAGACTACATGGGGCTTTTTAGGTAATGTTTGTTTTCTGATTCTCAACACTTCACTAAATCTAAACAGTTGAAGCACCTTCCCTGTGAGGAAAGGCTAAAAAGTCTGGGACTTTTCAGTTTAGAAAAGAGATGACTAAGGGAGGACACAATAAAGGTTTAAAAATTATGCATGGGGTGGAGAGAGTTGACAAAAATAAATTTTTCTTCCTCTCCCAAAATACTAGACCTCAAGGGCATCCAATGAAGCTGATGGGCAGTAGGTTCAGGATGGAGAAAAGGAAATGCTATTTTACACAGACAGTGATTAAAATGTGGAATTCACTGCCAGAGGATGTAGTGATGGTCACAGGAATAAATAGCTTTAAAAGGGGACTAGATAGATTCATGGAGGATAAGTCTATCAGTGGGTACTAGCCATCAGTGGGTACTAGCCATGGTATCAGTGGGTACTAGCCACTGTGTAAGACAGGATGGTGGACTAGATGGACTGTTGGTCTGATCCAGCAGGGCTCTTCTGATGTTCTTACATAGCTTAATGTCCCAGCAAAAAATGTGCCGCACAGAGTTTCAGAGTGACTGGCCTGAGGTCATCCAGGGAGCTTCCATGGCAAAGTAGGGATTTAAACCTGGGTCTCTCAGATCCTAATCCAACAGTGTAGTCACTACACCATGCTGGCTTTTATTTGCCACTTTCTTAGAAATTCAGTGCATGGTGCATTCAATAGGGCTCATATGTAATTAATCTCTTATGTTCATTCACCAGTTTTCACCACATGCTTTTGCAGTAAGTCAGTCATTAGCTTCTAGGTTCCACAATGAGTTTTGTTGCCCCCAACTTTTATTCCTATCAAAATTGGCTGCATCTGAAAAGAACACCAATACCTAATTCCATACAACTGCCCATTTTTAAAATTTGACTATTTTTTTTAAAAAAACAGAACTTTTTTTTTGTGATAGTGTATTCTGTCTGAAATTTTACGTTTATTGAAATCAAGTGGGCAATTTAAGAATATGTGGAGCTGCTATAATACCTCTGTTGTTCAGTACATAGGTTTTCCAGTAAGTGAATATTTTCCCTTTTGATCTGTATTTTCAGTGAATACATCTGGCAATTCAATATGAATTTCCCCCCATAAATTGAAGGTGGATATAACACACCATAAACGTTATTCCATATATCATGTAGCTAGTCACTTAAATTAACTTTTCTTGGGTTTCCTCTGTATAGGACCAGCAGAAAGAACTGAAAAATCAGGAGGAACTATCAAGCCTTGTTTGGATCTGTACTAGCACTCACTCTGCTACAAAAGTGATCATTGTGGATGCTAACCAGCCAGAAAACATCCTAGACAGTTTCATTGTTTGCAATTCTCATGTACTTTGTATAGCTAGTGTGCCAGGTAAGAAACCTGAGAGAGCAATTCTTAAAGTTAACACAGATTTAGTTGTTGTAGATTTTCTGGGCTGTATGGCTGTGGTCTTGGCATTGTAGTACCTGACTTTTCACCAGCAGCTGTAACGGGCATCCTCAGAGGTATAACACAGAAAGATGGAGTACTCTCTGTGTCAATGTAAGAAGAAAAATGGTAGGCAGGTAATTTATATCTACTCCGGAAGGTGGGGTAGGGCTGAGTCATTATCTTGTAGGAGTTTCCCAGGCTGTGACATGCTTTCATGAGGAGGTTCTTTTGCATATGGATTGGCTGTTGAAATTCTTGAATCATATTTTTATTTTGTAGAGTATATATTTCATAGAACTATTTCATACAATATGTGTGCATTTATACTCTATTTCATAATCTAAACACAACATGAGGTTACATTTCATCTATATAACCGACAAATTAAACTTAATCCAAATCCAGATTGTATCCTCTTCTTTTTCTTATTCCCATATCCTACCCGCATATAAAGGCTGTTGAAATTCTGATCTTATCTGTAGTGCTGTTGTAAGATGTAGAGCATTTTGTGTTTTTCAGGACAGGAAACCATGCCCTATTTATTTTTAAACTCTCTTCTTTCCTGTTGAAACTGTGTTTATGTTTATGAATTTCAATGGCTTCCCTCTGTAATCTGAATGGTAATTGGATGTGTTGTCCAGCATTTCAATATCTTGGAATAAGACACTATGTCCTGTTTGAGTTAGGCTATTTTCAGCCACTGCTGATTTTTCGGGTTGGCCAAGTCTGCAGTGTCTTTCATGTTCTTCTATTCTTATCTGGATGGTCCAAAGGAAACCTGTCCACAACTGCTGAGTATGTGGTATACTCCTGCAGAAGTGAGGGGGTCTCTTCTGTCTTCTGTCAAAGGAATCACTGATCAGATGGGAACACTTATGAAAAAACACAACCTACAAACAGTATTCAGACCCACCAGAAAAATACAACAGATGCTACGATTGGCAGAGGAACCAGATACGTGTTAAGAAAATCGCTTTGTCTCTTAAAATTAGGCATAAGTTGCTTCATTTGTACAATTAGTATTAAAGGGGTTGTTACTTTTTCAAACACATTTCTACCTGACTAGAAAGTTTCAGTGAGACCTGGTATGTGAGTATTACGGAATATTTCTTGGTTCCAATACATTTTGTTGAACAGCTCACATTCTGTAAACTGCCAGTATTTTTTCAATAACCCATGCCCCAAAAGACCTCTAAAGCATTTAAACTACATCCAAGGAAGTGAATGAAGTCTTGTATTTGTTTCAGGGGCAAGGGAAACTGACTATCCTACAGGAGAAGAAGGGTCACAAGAAACAGACTCTGGTATGGTAGACAAGTCGTCTTTGTGTAGCAGTATGAACAGCAACAGTTCAGCAGAAACAGACAGTCTGTTAGGAGGAATCACAGTAGTTGGTTGTACTGCAGAGGGTATTACAGGGCCTTCTACTTCCCACAACGCTAATGATGCCTCACCTGAGGCAGATAAGGAGCCAGGTATGAAAACATCAATATTTATTTGTTTTTCTTTGATGTAGCGTAGAATAGTGTTGAAGTGTTAATTTTATTAACCCTGGGTACTACTTTAATTCTCCTCCAGTCTGAGGATTGGACCTTTTGTGTAGCAGAATGACCAAGAACAATCCAACTTGAAGAGTCCAGTCTTCACACTGCAGGAGGGAACAATTGCAGTAGTAGCCAGGAAAATGTCTATGCTTGCAGGATGCAAACTGTACTTGCTAATTTGTCAGTGACCTTGTGGGGTTGACTTTGACCTATGCCTCAGTTGGCAGTACACCAGTCATTTGTAATGCATCAGCTATAAGGAGATGGGGTGGGTGGGTGGAGGAAACAAGGAGATATCAACATTTTGCCTATGTGTCCACCTGGGAAATAAAACACAATATGAAGACCATATGTATGTAAGAGGTATAAGTTTGCTTTTCTGTTATTTTATATGAATAACCTTGGAGTTAATTCTTATTGACTTAGTCAGTGAAGCCTTTGCATTGAGGAGTTTACAAAGTACAGTATTAGCAGCAGATAATGAGTTAAAATGGGCTAAGTAACTGTGGGGTGTAGTTTGCTGAGTTAGAGATGGTAGTGTCTTGTTTGCAGCAGAGATGGAGCTCAGGTGCAAAGGCACTACAAAGTAAGCAAGTCACTCCTAGCTTGAGGCAAGCTAATTCTGTTGCTTAGCTCCCTTCTCCCCCTGCCCTTATGCTTTAGATGTGGCATTATCAAGGGTGAAATTGCAAAGAGAGAATAGAAAGGAATGTAAAAACAATCTGAAGTATGACTAGTCTGTACATGCTAAGAGGTGTAGCAGTAGGGAGCTGAGTGATTATTTGGATTCATTTTGTAACTGAAATATTTATTGCAGAGGTTGCTGCTGAAGATGATGATGCTGTAGATGAGAATGTCCAGACAGCAGAGGAAGCAACAGAAGCAACAGAAGTCAATGCTGGTTCAGGAGAAGAAGGAGTGGATGTTGCACAAACTGGAGTCTACACAGAGCATGTCTTCACAGATCCTTTGGGAGTTCAAGATACTGTAGAGGGTTCTCCAGCATATCTGCCTTGGTATGCCTGTTTTCATATTAACATAATACGGAGGCTGGTAAATACCTATTAGAGTATATGGGCGCTTTCACACATGCAAAATAATGTCGTTTCAGTCCACTTCAGTGACCATTTACAAGTGGATTTTGCCTTTTCACTTAGTAAAATCCAGTTCCAAAGTGCATTGAAAGTGGATTGGAATTGCATTATTTAATGTGTGTGAAAGCAGTATATATCTTGCTACATTTGTGGTCAGGCGGAGGTCTTCATTTATTTATTTATATCTATTGGATTTATATCCCGCACTCCCTGCATAGCAGGCTCAGGGCGGGTTCCATCAGACATAATAAACAATATACCGTATATAAAAAATTAAAACAGTTAAAACACCAATAAAATACAACACCATTCATCCAGTACAAGTTATAGTTAAAGCCTCATTTAAGATATATGAAGCCAGTATGTAGATGTATTGGCCATTGGGCACAGTTTAAGTGGCATCTGTTACAGGGGTTTGCCTGTTAATGAGTTTTCAGATTGTGATGCAGTCTGCTCAGGAACTCTTTATATGATCAGTGGCCAAGAGAGGGTTCATTATACCTACCACTTCAGCTAACAGTTGTGATCCCTCAGTTGAGATAAGTTTACTTTTGTTTGTGGCAGAACATTAAGTTTAGGCATTCTGTCTTGGATGCCTTCAAATGGATTCATGTTGCAGAAATGCCAAAATTTAAAAAGGGAGATTAAACTTCACAAAGGTCTTTGAAATAAAATGACCAGGAGAATTTAAAAGCATGTATATTGCATGCAAACTGTAACTTGGTGTCCATTAATTTCAAAAGCTGCTTTTGACAGTGGAGAAGTGGTGGGGCACTAGGGCTATTAACTTTTCCTCTTCCTATTTTTTTCTGCTCCACAGTGTGACCCACATAACTTGCTATCCACATGGGATTTCAAGTGACATTTAAAACCTTGTAGTGGGGAAAGGGCTTTGTGGAGCAGGGAAAGGATAACTAACTTCCCCTCCTGTTTCTTCATTATTCCCCCTTAGAGAAGCCATTAAAACAAAAAAGAAGCCATTGGACTACAGTTACACAAATTTTGCATGCAACATGTTGTTTGGCCCTTGGTGACAGCAGTATTCTGTTGCTTTTAGTTGCTAAAGAGTACCCTTTCTCACATATTTAAGGCTCTCCAACCTATTTCATTGTTCAGAAATAGAGAAGAAATCACAGTAAAACTCCTGATAACATTCACAGTCAGGGCCAGCCCGAGGTGTTTTTGCGCACTAGGTGAGGCTAGCTCGTGGTGCCCCCCCCATGAGGCTGCCTTGTGGTGCCCCCCCTCACCACAAAAGGAAGAAAGAGATTTGGGGTTACATAAGCAAACAACGATCAGGAAAAACAAGCCCTGCAGAATGCCTATGTCGGCAGAAGGAATAACCTTGAATGGTGCGTGTGCAATGGAACTAAGTTCTAGTCCAGTTGTGTGCACGCAAAGCTTCTACCCCGAATGAAACTTTGCTGGTCTTCAAGGTGCTAGTCTGGACTGAAACTTTGCTCTCTGGCTTCAAACCAGCGCACGGCAGCCCACCTGAATCTCTCTTGAATGGGCTCAAAGAAAAAAAAAGAGGCAGTGGGAAGTCGCACGGAACGCCCCCGCGAGTCTTCTCCGGGGGCTGGTGAGGTGTTGGCTTCTGGGCGCCGACTTCCGACTTTGGGGCTTCCAAGGGGGTGACCTACACGGATCTGCGCTTTGCCATGAGCCCCCCGGAGAAAAGCCAGCCTCCTGGGGAGGCACTGCGCGAAGGCGGGCAGGCAGCCCGATGGCCCAGCTCTTGCCCTTCCCCTCGCTTCCCCCCCTTCCCTTCGCCGCCTGCCTGCTGCTGCTGCCGGACAAGGCGTCCTCCCTCCCTGGGGGGTCACGGCAGGGACAGGGCTGAGTGGCGGCAGGAGCACCTTCTGGATCTTGGCCTCCGCCACTTATGTAGCCTGCCCTGTCCCATTGGCTGGGAGCAGCTGCGCCCCACCCACAGATCACCCGCGAAAACCTCCCCCGCTTCCCCCTGGCCTGGCAAGGCACCCCTGACCTCCATGCAGCCACTGCTTTCTCTGCTCCCCCCCCCCCCCGTGTGCACCAGCAACGGCTGGGGAAAGGCACTCCTTGAAACTGAGTTGTGGGAGAGAAGGGGGGGAGGGGATCCCGCCCGAGGTGGCCGGGGCTGGGAGCAGGGAAGTTCCCCCGCAGGGCTTCCTTGCTCCCGGGATGCCCCAGCACCTTCTGGGGCACCCCTGCAATGTCCCCTGGTGGGGACGAAGAGGGACCAGGCAGCCCAACAGGACACGCCGGGGGGGAGAATGAGGCAGTGGCAGCAGAGACTGGGGTCAGGGCAACGCAGGGCTTCTGGCAGGGGGCTTTTGGCAGGGGCGCAGTTGGGCGCCCCAATGATCCGCCCGCCCTAGGCGAAAGTCTAGTTCGCCTAGTGGGTGGGCCAGCCCTGTTCACAGTAAAACTCCTGGTAGTATGGTAGCAAGTAATATGCGGTTAAAATGAGTTTCTAAAATGAGATACTTACAGAAGATAAAGAAAAAAGGTAATGCCTCCCATCTCTCAGCCTAATTTACCTCAAGGGTATTGTGAGGATGTGAACCAAAAGCAAGGACTTTGAGTTCTTCTGAGGAAGGACAGGTTTTTGTTTGTTTTTTAAAATCAAATGCATAAGCTTTTCTACAGGGGTTTCATTCTAATCTTACTCAGTTTTGGAGTTGAATATTTTGACAGGTCCTGTATTAAAAGGTGTGTTACTTGTCTTAGCTTGGGATCATGTTAGACTTGTGTGCAGTATTATTTCTGAATGCTCTTTGTTCATACTGTTCTTAATACTGTGGCTTTTCCGTCCCTTCTCAGCAGTGAATCAGACTTGTATAAAGATGTTGCTGTGTTGCCAAATGAGCAGGATCTCGTCAGAGAAGAAGCTCAGAAAATGAGCAGCCTTTTACCAACTATGTGGCTTGGAGCACAGAATGGATGGTAAGCAAGGGCTTTGCTTTGTTTGGTATTGGCTTGCCAATAGAAGTCCCTTTGTGGTTAGTTCAGTGCCTGAAAATGAAACATCAGCCTTGAAAACTGTCTGCTCTGAATTACAACCATAATTCCATCTTGAGATACTGGCTTGAATCTAAACACTGACCCATCCACATATCCCTTTGACTCCTTGGAATGATTCTTCCTGCACTGTTAGAAGAGGGAAGAAAATCACTTTCATCTTCTACCTCATTACAGTAATACCGTCCCCTCAACCTACATGTTTATCCACTGGAGTTCCATAACCCCCTGAATAATCTTCCCAGGGGTCAAAAGGGACTGCTATGGGAAGGGGGAGTAAAAGGTAGGGGAAATCCATATATCTGTGATCTGCAGTTCATTGGAAACAAGCGGAGACTTTCAATAAATGTTAATTGAAGTGTATTAGTAGTCACCATACTTGACAATGGTTTCTGTACCCAATGAATTGCACAAGACTCAACCAGATATTAATTAATTTGGAGTTAGGAATTGACTGAAATTTAGATGAAGGGGTTTCACTTGTTATGGTATGGGAACTTTGGTTTAACGTTATTTTTCCCCAATAAGAAGTGTATGTGAAGTAGTACAAATTTCTTTGCATGTCTGTATTAAAGGATCCATTAAGAACTAACAGCAAGCTGAATCTCCAGGCAAGGCATCACCAAAGGTGAATAAATTAGATGCTACCAAGATAACTTAATACAGGCTGGTTGGAGTTAGTAATAGTTAAGACTGCTTATAGTTTTTTCCATTAGAATTTTTTGGTTAGTCTTTCCAGAAGCAGGGCCATTTGTAAAACGCTGACATGGGTTTTGTACTTTTGGATTTTTAATCCATTCTCTTTTTGTCATTGCAGTTTGTATGTTCATTCTTCAGTGGCTCAGTGGAGGAAATGTGTCCATGCCATTAAACTTAAAGATTCTATACTCAGTATAGTGTAAGTTCCTACCAAATTGCATTTCCATTTTAAACTGGAGTTTGCTCAGCAGAAAACAGTTATACAGATAGCTCTGTTACATTAAATACTCATTTAGAAAAGAATGCTCTAATTCTCTTTTGGAGAAGAGAACTCTAATTTGTAATTAAGTCAACAGGGTTGTGTGATGTTTGCAGCTGTGAAGCTGTCATACTTTCTTCCTGGTTCTTCCTGGAAATGTTTGAGGCCAATATCGCTACTGAAAGCAAGGATGGCGGGGAAAAACACTGCAATTTCATCTTTTAAAAAAGTGAAATACACACTTATCCCGTTAGTTAACAGTGGTTTGTGAGAGAAGATAGGTTTCTGTGTGCAGATCTGTTCTACCACAAGTGACAGATAATGATGTGCCCACACTCCGTCCTCCCTCCAATTTAAGCACTAGGGAGTCCTTAGAGATACATTGTCGATATGACACTTTTCTTTGAGTTTATTGGATTTTTATTTATATATAAAATTTGTGTGCTGTCTTTGCCCATCAGGGACACTTGATGGTGTGAAATGTATAGCTTCACTATGGATCGTGGGGAACTTCATTAGAGGCCAAGCATATAAAATTTGGGACATTGTTCCACAGTGAAGGAATTTTTCAATTGAGTCTCTTTAGACTTGGCGAATGCAGGAAGGAATTTCTTATCATGACAGCCATTCCAAACAAATTAAAAATGGTTGCTAGTTTTGGATTCATTATGTAACAGTTCCTGTTGACTCTCACCTGTATGTACACCTGAATGCTAACAGCACTGATCATCTGTTAGAAGGGGGAAAGGCACCACACTAAGGGAAGTACCAGGGTCGGATGTGGGGGTGGAGACATCTTGAGCACATCCTTCTGGTTTTATGCTCCCAGCATTCTCACTATATGTATATTTTTCCTCTCTCCCTCTTATCCAGACATGTAAAAGGAATAGTATTAGTTGCACTAGCAGATGGAACTCTAGCAATATTTCACAGAGGAGTAGGTAAGCATTCTACCCAGGTGCCTAAACCTTGCCTCATATCTACATATCTGATTAGCTTCTGAAAGGCTTATATACAGCAGCCCTTGCAACAAGTTTTTGTTCATTGAGACATGGTTCTTGAGAGATAATTTTTGTTAATATTATCCTTCATTTTATCAGCAAGCAATGAAAAGTTTGCTTAGCTCTTTGCACAGAGATCTGTTGTAGATGCATATCATCAAGTATACTTCCTCCATTTGTGTTCCTCCCCCTGCCTTCCCTTAACATGTGAACTCTGTAGAGAATACTTGTAGTTCTTTGGACAGTCTTTTGCAACCTTTGCTGGTGTTATGTAAACAGATAATAGATGGATGTGAGTTGCAGAGCATGTAACTAAACCCTTAAGAGTTTGATCTATTCCATAGAATTAGTTGAAGGATGACTGACAATATCTCCTGTGGATTTTTGATTGCCTTAAATGTTAAAATTTTATGTTATCTAAAGTAGCTATTAAACGTTCTGTGTCAGCTGTTGCTAGTTTGGATTTGCTTTGCCTATCCAATGTGTTGATTAAAAGTAATACTCTTTGAATGCAAGGCATGAGCTGCATGTGTCTGTACATTATTTCTGTATGTAATGATGAGTTTTTGTGACAAAAAGATATGTAAATCCTAGAGCAGAATCTAAAAACAAATAGATGTGTGCTAGTATATAATCGCTGAGTAGTCATGTACACAGACTAACATCTAGAAACAAGTTCTTTTTCTGATCCCTCAATCCACTCCCTTTCTTGTTTCTTCATAGATGGGCAGTGGGATTTGACCAACTATCACCTTCTAGATCTGGGCCGACCTCATCATTCCATCCGATGTATGACTGTGGTACATGATAAAGTCTGGTGTGGCTACAGGAATAAAATCTATGTGGTTCAACCCAAAGCCATGAAAATAGAGGCAAGTTAAAAATATTTCATCAGTGTGTGTTAACTAAAATATTTCCATTCTCTCCTACCTCTGTTTAAGACATAGGATCAAGGAAAGCACTACCAGCTTCTGGTCTGTAACCATGTGCCCAATGCTTGGAACACTGTTTTCTTGACTAGATGAGCATGGGCGTTCAGAACATCTAGAATGAGCAGAGAGGCAACAACTTTTCTGATTGTCAGGGTAGACTTGAAGGTAGGGAACTTTGGTCTCAGTTAAAGTACTGGATGCAGAAGGGGGCTTGTAGAATTTGATAGGCTGGTTATATTCACAGGATGGCTAAACCTGTTGCAGCGTAATGACTTCTGCCTCTTAAGAAGCCCACCTAAGTCAAACTGTCAGGAGAGTTTTGTGTGAGAGCAGACTCACAGGAAGGGAACTGTAGACAAGTAACATTTATTGCATTGAGATACTGGTGAAGGCCGGGCTGCCAGAAGCAGAAATGATAGATAAGGCACTGTCAGAGAACAGTAAGAACTCTGGGATATGGTTTGCTATTTTAACAGTAGAACCCAAAAAGATAGCCATGTTGGTTTATTATAATTAAATTCAACAAATAATATGTAATGCTCCATCTCTTAGTCATGCATATGAACAATCCCTCTCCTTAAGTTACGTTAGTGAGGCCTTGCCGAAGATGCCATCTTTGGTTACAAGGTTAGTGTGCAGCAGAAAAAGGCTTTCTTGCTGGTTGGCCTTCTATTAAAGAATTTATACTCCAGGCAGTCCACCTGTCCATTTCTTTGGCTTCATTTCAGAGACAGGTCAAGGTAGCCTTCCTTTATTATGAGACACTTGACATTTAATAGGCTGAAGGTTGTAGAACTGTTGGTGTTTATGCAATTCTGGTTTTTAAGATGTTGATTTTTTTGTTTTCATTCATGGTTTTATTTGTGCAAACCACTTTGGAAGCCTAGGTGATCTAAGGGTGATGAGAATAAAAGAAATAAGGGGAGCCATATTCCTGACTGTGTGTTAGCAGAGACTCTGTTTTATGAGAAACAATGAATTTGTGCAGTCATTGCATGTTAAAGGTGACATGTAGTCTGTTTTTTGTAAATATAATGGTGGAATACTTTACTAATCAAGCTGTAATTTATTTTAGAAATCATTTGATGCACATCCAAGGAAAGAGAGCCAAGTGAGACAGCTGGCCTGGGTGGGAGATGGAGTGTGGGTGTCCATCCGTTTAGATTCCACACTCCGTCTTTATCATGCACACACATACCAACATTTACAAGATGTGGACATTGAGCCCTATGTAAGCAAAATGCTAGGTAAGTCATTGGCCACCTTTTGCAAATAAGACAAAATTGCTGGTTTAAAAAACCCATACGAATTACTATATATAATCTGAGTATAAGAAAGCTTTTAGCCATGGTTAGATACTTTACAATTGGCAACAGTAAAAGGCTGATAGGATCTTATATAAAGAATGTGTCTGTGTTTGCGACCACAGATCTATTGAGGATCTAGGCCATGTAGTCTTTCACTGCCCTAGATTTACATTAGATTGCGAGAGATGTCTTGGGAGTATTTTATTACAATATCCAGGAAGAGTGGACAATGACAGATTAGTTATATTGCTTGCCAACAAAGGTAAATGGGTAATGCTGCAAATGGCAAAGTTTGTTGCTCGGGTGATAAAGGCTTTGCCAAAATCATCCACTGTTAATGCGGCTGATGGATAAACTTACGTAATGCTGGCCGACTGATTGAATTTGCTGCTTTTTTCACTTAAATTGCTGTTGTTAGGGTTTATAAAGTTGTAATGGATATTAGAAGTATCGATTGTTATTGTGATTGTTGTATTATTGTTTTGACACAGTTTTTGGTATTTTTGGTGTTACTTGCTAAGGCTAAGAGCTAATGCAATACAGTTTATGTGTATAAAGATATATATAATCATGCATTTGTAAATGGGGCAAGGGTTCTCAAACATCAAACCAGTAAACTTAAGTAATCATTACATTCTTTTGCCATCACGATAAAATTCTGGGCATGCACATTAAAATCTAGTAAGGTCAGATGTAGAAGTCTGCATAGTGAGGTGCCAGCTGGATATCTGTATATTAACTAGCACAGTTGTTACACAAGTTCATGTGATGAACTTTGTACAATAGTCTTGACTCTTATTCATGTACTCTGCAAACTTGATAGACCAATTATACAACCCAAAATGATGCAGTTGTCATAATCGTCAGAATTAAAACTTTGGTTTGGAGACAGGTTGGTATCTGATTTTCAAAACTGCAGCTGAGAAATAGTTTAGAGAATTAAAAATTGATACGTTATGATAACAAGAGTACCCACATTCTTTTTTTTTTAACTTTACAAATACTTGAAAAAATTGAGAGTACAAAATTTAAGGTAGACAAGAGGATTTCTGTAGAAGTATCTGTTTTAAATTTCTAATGCACACTGTTGTGGCTGTTCCAGGTACTGGAAAACTGGGGTTTTCATTTGTGAGAATCACAGCTCTTATGGTATCCTGTAACCGGTTATGGGTTGGGACAGGGAATGGTGTCATCATCTCCATACCACTAACAGAAAGTAAGTACGATAGGAACCAGGGGATAAACAAGAGCGCCAAGTATTTCCAAGTATGAAATTTTAATAGAAAAATTAGTTTAATGTTTGCTGCACAGCTTTGGCAGTTTTCTGGTTTTAATGTGGTCCAAGTATAACCGTGTATCTTCTTGCTGGCATCTCTACATGCTAAGACAAAACAACCTTGTTGGAGACATGATGGCACTTCAGAGATACAGAAATTCATGCAGAGGATGCGAATATACAGAAGTGTGTGTACCTTACTTTGACTTTTGTTCTCATGGCAGCCCTTTGTAGTGGACTATGTTGAGAATCAATGGCTGGTCCACGGTCTCCTAGTTGGGTCCATAGCAGAGTGAAGATTTGAACTGAGGACTCCCCACTCCAAGTCTGACACATTAACCAATACACCAAGTTTGAGGGATACAAGGACTTGTAGCACAATACTATGCATGTTTACTTGGCAGTCCTTCTATGTACACCCCAGAGTAAATGTGTATAGGGTTATAGCTTTAGGATTGGATCCACTACCTGCTGCTCCTCTTTGCAGAATTTTAGCTTGCAGAAGGGTAAGAGTCCGTGATTTCTGGTGATTTTTCTCTCAAGCTGCAGATCTTCATGCTACTTCCCACTCCATTTCTTATGGTTCCCTGATCATTCAGAGTGTTTTTTTAGGGACTGCAGGTGACTGTGGGTAGGAGGAGGTAAGAAAGATGCTGTTTCCAAACAGAATTCTACTCATGGAGCACTGCTTCTGGTCCTTAGAGCCCACGTACTTTCTCCATAGCTGTGACACTAGGGGAAAAGAGGCTTGAATCTTCTTCTCTCCCTGCCCCCAGCCGTTTTCTCAACTTGAAATGGCCATCCTGGGCTGCATGGGGGTGATATCTGTACCATGCCTGACTTTTCACTCTCTCTCTCTTGAGAGAGAGAGAAAAGCCAGGGAGCATAAGATTGTATGTGTAAGCTACACATTCCTTTCCCCAGCATAGTGGCCCCAATGTGTATCTTGCCCTGGCCCACCGGCATTACTTCTTTTGCAATTCAGTTACATGTGTGGGGATCTGAACACAGATGCCAAATATTACATGTTGTTTGTCCCTCAGTACAAAGGTATAATAGCATCCTTCAGATACAGACATCATTAGATAGTAGAAAAACATCACTTTCATTTGTAGTTCACCTTTTTCACTGATACTCCAGGTGGATTACAGGTAATGAGGGGTGAGAATTCCTTTTCCTCTCATGCATATGTGAAAGAAACTTAATTCTGTTCTCAAACTGCCTGAAGTGTGCATGTGATAATGAAAATTCTGATATAAAGTACTGTTTTGTTATTACTCAGCCCATTTCATACTATAAACCTTTTTCAAAAATACCCCAAAACCTTTTCTGCTTGGGCTTTCTTATTTGAATGACAATTGATTTAATTACATTAAACAACCTTATCTGTAGGTCTAATATCTTTTGTAATATTGGCATTATGGCTGATAGGGTGTTGCGGGATGGCATTGTGTAGCAAATTAATTTGCCAGTAACGTATTCTTTTGTATTGCTTTGAACACCACATGCATCGTTTTTCATGTTGTATCGTTACATGCTCATCCATTAAATGTCTAGTTTTGTGCTGCATATGTGTAAAAGCAAATGCTTTCATTCATAACTAGTTTTTAAATATTTGAGATTCTTCAACATATGAATAGAAAGGGACCTTGTTAGCTGAAAACTTTTAGGCTATATTCCTTACACTCTGCTTGATTGATGCCTTACTTGTAGTAGCTTGAACAGGATAATGGTACATTACTGTTTGACTATAGAGAGGGGAAGAGGCATTAATTTCTCCCCTTGCCCCATTCTATGCTACCAAGGCTAATGCTCTGCTTTAGTCAGTTGTACCCAGGGAAATTGAGAAGAGCAATTCTGCTTCCTTTATGTTGCACTGAATGTGCTGGGAACTTCTTGTTCCTAATTTTAGGAGGGGGACCCCCATAAAGCATGGAAGAAAGGAGGCTGGTTTTTCCATATTTTTTTTAGCAGACCCTGCAGAAATAAAAAGCAATCATTTGCAGCAACTGCTAAGCTGGGCAGATGTTCACTCTTCCCCCTTCCCCAGTCTTAGCAGTCAGAGCTACCCAGGAGAAAGAAAGTGTTTACATTACCCTGCAGAAGCTGTTTCATTGTGTGCAGTGATAATGTTTCTAACATCCTTACTCTTCAGCCTCAATAGCCCTGTGGTACAGCATGGTGGTGGAGGGAAGTTTTGGATGACAGCCACTCCCCCTTCCCCCGAGACACTGCCCGCTGCTGTTGTACAAGTGTGACTAACAATAATTTAAGGAAATAGATGAATAAATATAGATCTTGTGTTACTTAACATCAAATAAGGCTCCAAATATTTCTCAAATATACAATAGTATTCAATACATGAAATACAAGAAATACAAAAAAAAAAATGCAGTGGATAGGCTGGGGATTTAAAGCAATATCTACCATTTACTATTTAACACTCCCAAAAGAAAGACTTCAGAAATTCCAATTTCAATGGACTGAAAAACATGATCTTCAAATGTCCATAAAGCAAGTACATCCACTTCTTAAGACTTAAGATAAACAATGTAAGGTATGCTGCAATCAGCAAGTAGATCCAGACTTTAGGATTTGAGACAAACAATAAGAAATAAGCTGCAGTCAACTCATCCTCCAGATTATTCAATGAGTTTTTGATCCCTTCATCAGGACTGCACATCAACTGGAACTCCCAAAGAGGCACATCAACAGGAACTTCTCAGCCAATAATGCCTCCAAACTGTCTTATTGTCCAACAGTGTTTCCAAAGTAAAATTGTATACAATACATGTAAACATCAAGATTGCCTTGCCAATAAAATTTGACTTGCCAATAAAGATTAAATATCTTATCCAAACTGCCTTATTTTTCTTTATCCATGATGGATACGTGTAGCCTAACTATAGGTGCTCTTCCATCTAAATGTTAGCTGCTTAATTAATTTGCACCTGGAAGGCATGAATGGGCTTTACGTATTAGAAGATGCGTGATAGCTTTCAAGAGCTGTCTTTGCATTCATTTAGATGGACATTTGAAGATCATGTTTTTCAGTCCATTGAAATTGGAATTTGTGAAGTCTTTCTTCTGGGAGTGTTAAATAGTAAATGGTAGATATTGCTTTAAATCCCCAGCCTATCCATTGTATTTTTTTGTATTTCTTGTATTTCATGTATTGAATACAATTGTATATTTGAGAAATATTTGGAGCCTTATTTGATGTTAAGTCATACAAGTTGTACAAGTGTGAGCAAGCTGAATGCTCAGCTGATATTTGTCTAGTTAAAATTTGAAAGTAAGAGGGGGTAGAGTCTTCTGGGGTTTGCGAAGTCTTAGCTCCATTTCCATTGGGGACTACAAAATTGTCATTAACCTCTTCAGACAACTGAGAAGGGGAGCAGGAGCATCATTCTCCAGAATTTCAAAAGATTATTTTTTTAAATCCTTCTAGAGCAGGGGTGTCGAACTCATTTGTTAAGAGGGCCAGATCTGACATAAATGGGACCTTTGGGGGCGGGGTCATGTGTGTCATAACGTGCATTGCCAGGCAGCAGATTTATAAACTTTATAAAGAACACAGACAAATACAAAGATTTTTTCCCTTAAAATAAGAACATGCTTAAAACATTAACACTCTTGCAATATTTTGTTGCTGATGCCCCTGTGCTGCTTGGAGTGGGGAGCAAGCCCTTCCCCCTTCCCCGCTCTCACAGGCATTTTGAGCTTTTGTACATAAGTTGTTATATGTGCAGGTCAAGAACATGTGAAGGCATCATGACACAGAATGAGGGTTATGTATTTGTGTACAAAACTAGTCTTCCCCAGAGAAATAACTACAGCTCCTATGAGGCAGTGCAAGAACAGAGAGACAGGAAGTATCAGCCTACTATCTAGGACAGGGGTGTCGAACTCATTTGTTATGAGGGCTGGACCTGACAAAAATGAGACCTTGTTGGGCCGGGCTATGTGTGTCATAAAATGTAATGCCAGGTAGTGGAGGTATAAACTTTATAAAGGACACAAACACAAAGGTTTTTTTTACTTAAAATAAAAACATGCTTAAAACATTAGCACACTCTGCAATATTTTGTTCATTTAACAGTGTCTGATAACTGACACCTCTTGCTCTGAATTATTGCATCAAAATGTCTGTGCTGTTGCAATCTTGAGTATGCTGTTCAGGGGTGTATCTGTAAGCTGCAAACCTATGATGACGCAGCAGCAGCAGAACTGGAAGAAGAAGCAGAAGACAGCCAGTTCCACTGCAGGCCTGATAGAAGCCCTCTGGGGGCCTGATCTGGCCCCTGGGCCGCATGTTTGACACCCCTGATCTAGGAAGTGTAGGTTCAAAATCCCCAGTCTCCAAAGAATATATCCTGGGTGAACTTGGTCTGGACACACACAGCCTAATCCACCTCACTGGCTTGTTATTATTCCTCATCTAAATAGTTCATATTGCTTTCCTACTGAGAAGGACTGGATCATGAAGGCATGAATACAGTGAAGTGGAGGTGGACCCAGTCGCACCTAGGAGAGCCGCAGAATAAACACACACACACGCGCGCACACACACACACACACACACACAGAGTAACAAGGCACAGGAAAGCTCATACCTTGAATAAAACTTTGTTGGTCTTAAAGGTGCCACTGGACTCAAACTTTGTTTCTCCCACACAGTAGCAAGGCAGTGTGGAGGAGGAAGAGAGCGGGAGGTGAATCTAGTTGCACCCAAGACAGCCACAGCAAAATGAGTCCAATGACAATGGAAGCCACAAAAAAACCTTCTTGGTTCTAGTATTTCTCTGTTTTCCCTTTTAATGGTTGCATCATGAGTGCCACCAGACATTTAAAAAAAAAAAAAAAATTGCAGAGCAGCTGAGCCCATTCACTGGCCCCAGCACAGCCCCTCCACTTTTCTCTTTCAGCCTAGCTGTGTCGATAGGCTGGAGATGGCTGGGGACAAGGAGGTGGGAGGAAAGCGCTGAGGACAGGCTTTGACAGGGCGGGAAGAGGAAAGTGCAGGAACCTTGCTGGGGCCAGTGAACGGGCTCAGCTGCTCTGCAAGGACTGGGGACAAGGAGGTGAGAGGAAAGTGCTGAGAAGGACAGGCTTTGACTGGGCGGGAAGAGGAAAGTGTAGGAGCCTTGCTAGGGCTCAGCTGACCTGCGAATTGAAAAAATGTCTGGTGGCACTTATGATGCAACAAGGGGAAAACGGAGAAATACTAGAACCAAGAAGTAAGGTTCCAATCTCTGCATCAGAGATTCAGAGTGATATACACAACAAGAACAAAAAACAGACACACACATACCCCACAGTAGCAAGGTGATGGTATGGAGGAGGTGAGGGGGAGGCAGAGCCAGTTGTACTCGGGACAGCTGCAGCAGAACAATCCCCCCCCAAAAAAACAACAACAACAACAAACACACACAAGCTCACCTTGCAAGTTCATTGTTCCTGCTGTCCTCTCATTTCTGCTCTCGCTGACCCTTAAGGCTGGTGTGCTCCCCCCTTGTGCAACTCCAACAAATGAGGGGGCGGGGCTTGTGTGGGAATAGGAAGTGGCTTTTGGCCCCATCCACTTCATTGGGAGGGGGAGAAGTGAGCTCCAAAGCACATGCTGCCCTTGGCAGCTGAAAGGGTGGTTCCCTCTCCCTCTGGCCACTTCCTCGCAGGATAGATTAAGGCTCTAGGTGGGCTAGTTCTGGCCCGTGGGCCGTACATTTGACACCCTTGTTCTAGAGACATCAGGAAGGAACATTTCATCCAGTTTTCTTTGCTTACAACACACCAGCTCAGGGGGAGAATCGGTCATTACCCTCTTTCAACCCATGTCCCAGTTTAGCTGCAACTAATCATTACAGTTTAGTCAATTAACTTAAAATAGCTAATAAGATAATAGTAATAAAATAGTGAAATAAAATGGAAATAAATAAAATTAAATAGGGCTAATATAAATATATATCTAATATACTACTCTAGGGCTTGCACCCACAACAGATGAGCTCAGCAATTCCTCCAAAAACCTGTATAAAGTTAAAACATGGGCGCACACACAGAACAAAACAACTGACTGTGAACTAGCCAGTTTGGTGTAGTGGTTAAGTGTGCGGACTCTAATCTGGGAGAACCGGGTTTGATTCCCCACTCCTCCACTTGCACCTGCTGATGTGACCTTGGGTCAGTCACAAGCTCTGGCACAGCTGTTCCTGAAAGAGCAGTTTGTGTCAGAGTTCTCTCAGCCCCACCCACCTCACAGGGTGTCTGTTGTGGGGAGGGGAAGGGAAAGGGGTTTGTAAGCCGCTCTGAGACTCCAAGTGAAGGGCGGGGTATAAATCCAATCTCTTCTTCTTCTTCTAAACCTGAATTAATCAGTCACTTCAGACTAAATCAGAAGGCACTAAAAAGAGAGAGGGGAAAGAAATAAAAGTGAGTGGAAGTAATCTTGGCGGATATCTGTCACAAGCTGAGAATTTGAAGAATAGTCATTTTCCAGGACAGGTGGGCTTCCCTCTTTTTTCCAGAGGAGAAAATGGCTTAAATCTTGTCTTTGTGGTATTATTCCTGTGAACTACGATAGCTTCCCTTTAAGAAAAGAGAGAAAGGGGAAACATACTTTGCTGGTAAATAAGTGTTATTACTTTCTTTGGCCACTTTGTACTAAAATGTGTAGAAGGAAAGGCCTTGTTCATTACTGCTCATTTGACTGTATCTTCAGTAGCTTGGAGCTGATACATAAAGGCTCATTCTTATCAAATACCAGAACACATGGTGGGTTCTCATTAATCCTTCTCCTCTGCTGTCACACCTATCCATTTCCCCTTTCCTCCTTTCTTACTTTAGCTGTAATCCTCCACCAGGGACGTTTACTGGGGCTGAGGGGTAAGTGCTGATCCCAAACCAAAACAATCTGTATTCTCAGGCTTCTCTAATGGCCACTTTTAGGCTGTTTCCCACTTCTCTAAATTTTCTCCCACCCCACCCTCTTTGTATGTTCCTAAACCTTTTTTGACTTGCAGTTACCTGCATCGCAGCTTCTTTATGTTTGCTAAACGACCACCAGCCCTGCTCAGCAATTTTAGTGCCTCCATCTTCTGTTGCAGCTGAACTTTTCCCATACAAACCTTGTGTTGTTTTTTTTTACTTCCAGTGCCATCTGTGATACCATAACCTTAGAACTCTCATTAATCCATATCATTTTTCTTCTTATGACAAATTGCATTTCTTTCTTCCTCTGATATATTGTTTGAAATGGAGATGTTTTTGTGTGTCTAGCATACGGATTTGTATGAAGCAATATGCTGGTTTGTAGACTTTTAAGATCTCTCAAACAACGCACTTGACATAGGGCTCCTCAGTGCCTGCATATGGCCACTTACTGCTGCTTTTTCCTTTTGCTTTAGCAGATTCAAGAATCATAGTTGCTAAGGAAGGCTTCCTGTAGCACCTTTAAGGGCTAACAGGTTTCTTTGTAGCATACGTTTTCATGGACACATTTGCAAAAGCTTATGCTACTATCAAATTGATAGTCTTTCAGGTTCCACAGGATTTTGGGTTGCCTGTTCTACAACAGACTAACATGGCTACCCATCTGAAAATCTGTCTTAAAAAAATACAGTTATGCATCTGTTGGTAAGATTTGCTCAGTGTCTTCAATATGAAAAACCTGTACTACATTTTATTGTGAATGTAGATTTTTTAAAATTTGAGTTATGCTAGACTTAGCAAGCTGCTCCATTTTTTCCTCCCAGAGATACTTCAAATAACTAAGCATGCTGTCTTTATTCCTTTCCAGCTCTGTCTTGAAACTGGCATTGTGTTGCCCCTTCTGTTTCATTTATATCTGAATTGGCTTTAGCTTCTAGATGGTGCCATAAGGTTTTTAAAATGAATAATTGTCTCTACAGTGAGTAATTTCAAGTGGAAAATATTGTCTTTCTCTATTTTGTAGCTAATAAAGCAGCAGCAGGTTCTGGCAATCGTCCAGGCAGTGTAATACGTGTCTATGGCGATGAAAACAGTGACAAAGTGACGCCTGGAACATTCATACCTTATTGTTCAATGGCACATGCACAACTTTGTTTCCATGGGCATCGTGATGCGGTTAAATTCTTTGTTGCAGTCCCTGGTAAGCATTGTGTGCAACCCTTTCCCCATTTCAGCTTGGTAAGATTATTGGTTGAGTTGGTGGAAGAAATAGTAATAGGTTCTTTTCTGTAGACTTTGGATGCATTTGTGGAATCTTTAATGGCTTCCTCATTATTGATTTAGGTAAAATAAGCAGAGCTGTCTGCCTTTGCTTTAGCCGTAGGCTGAAAGCATTTTCTCAGAGTGAGGGGCATATGCTCGCACTGAACCAGGGGTCATTTGGGGGGGGGACGTGGGGGGACGCCATCCCCCCGGGTGAGGTGCGGGAGGGCGGGGCCTGGAGCTCCCTGCTGGTGCCCGCTGGAGGTCGCCGCCGGCTGTGGGGAGGACACACTTCCGGTGATGTCAGGGGGTGTGGCATATGCTAATGAGTTATGCTAATGAGTCCCCCTAGCTCTTTTTCTACGAAATGACCCCTGCACTGAACTAATATAAAATGAAATGATGCATTGGAAACAGCAAGGCAATTTTTAAGGAGAGATAAATATATTGTCATTTTTTTATGCCAACAGAGGACCTGAACTGAGAGGTATATTCCTGAAGGCAGGGGTCATTTTGTAGAAAAAGAGCTAGGGGAACTCATTAGCATAGCTCATTAGCATATGCCACACACCCTGACATCAGGGGCCTGGCGGTGGACCTGCAATGCCAGCGGGAGTGCGAGGAAGCCCCGCCAAGGCCCTCCCTGGCCCCAGGCAGGCAGGGGTGGGGAGAGGCGGGGAGGAAGCAACTTACCCTCCCTCTTCTCCTGGCTCCTCCTGGCTGAATGAGGGCTGGAAGCGGGGCGGCCGGAAGCAGGGGGCGGGGCTTCGTCATGTGCCCCGCCCCCTGCACCTCACCCGGGGGAACTGCATTCCCCCGCGTCCCCCCCCGAAATGACCTCTGCCTGAAGGTAACATTGGCTGGTGCATTCTTCTGTGCTGCATTGATTGTCTTGCCACAGACTATTAGTTTAAAGCCAGCTGCAGCAAAGTCCAGTGGCAAGATGATAGGGATGCCATGGGCTTCCCCCACCACCATCAGTGTATTGGCTTTGATTTCCTAGTCTTTACAGATTCCTCTTCTGGAATCCCTCAGGTCTTTTTACAAATTTTCCTACCAAATAGACGTCTTTACACAATGTTTCCACCTCCACTGTTTTCACAGAGGAGTTTCCTTGTGGATTCTCACTTTTGCTATGCTGTCTCCACTATTTCAATAAGATTTAGTGTAAATATCTGACACTTCAAAGTTGCTATTTCACTCCAATTTTGTGCTATATGTTTTAAAGAACATAAGCACTGTAAGCAACCCATGTTGTGCTACATGGCAAATTGAACTGAACAGAAAGGATCTCAGATACACCATGAAAAGTGGCTGCCAGGGAAAAAAGGAGAAACCCCTGTGGGTATGCAGAAGGTTTTGCACCCCTTTGAGTGAAACCATAGGCAGCAAGGCAGAAAGTATATTGATGCAAATCTGAGAGAACAGACAAGAAGAAAAGATTGGATTTATGCCCACACTTCAATCAATCACTCAATAAACCTTTAATGGCATATACAACATTAAAATCAGAGACAGAAAATGACACAATCAACTAAGAATCTAAGTTAATTATAAAATCATAAAACGGAGTTTCCCAAGTTTTTCACTCTTATCACGTCAACTAAAAAATTGGCCACTGCCACAGTAATTTCTGCTGTTATATCGTTCAATAGAAATTGGCATTTTATTTCATTGGAAAGGTGATGTTTACCATGCAACCAAGTGTTTAACCATTTTTCCCTAGCAGATACATGCCACGAACAGTCTAACAATATGTGATCAATTGAATCAGGAGAGTTAGAACCGCAGTCACATCTCCGTTCATGCTTAGGAAGTTTCATTTGGAGTTTCCGAATGTCTTACAATCTCCTTTCCTTTCCCCTCCCCTCCCCTCCCCACAACAGACACCCTGTGAGGTAGTTGGGCCTGAGAGAGCTCTTTGAGAACTGCTCTGAGAGAACTTGTGACTGACCCAAGGTCACACCAGCATGTGGAGGAGTGGGGAATCGAACTCGGTTCTCTCAGATTAGAGTCTACACTCCTAACCACTACAACATTCTCAAAGGTCCAGTTGTAGAATAGTTCATATAGCAAGACAAGAATGGAGACGAAATATGGTGGAATGGGGAGTAAAGACGATGGGTCGGATCCAGTGCAAGGACCATGCATGGTCTGTGCATGGATCCCCAACTTCCCAAGCTTTCCCCTCCTACCAGTAGCCTTTTCTGGCCCCAGGATAGTTTATTCACATATGAAGTAATAGCCATATTGGTCAGGACTCAGGCGGCTACAGGGGGAAGGGGGCAAAATCACTCCCTTCTCTCTCTTCCATCAAGAGAGCTCTTCCCACACAAGAGGTAGGAGGGAGTTATCCTGTAGCCTTCCAAACCGCATGGATATTACTCCACGCAGGTTCTGCAACCCCATAAGTAAACTTTCCCAGGGTCGGAAATGGCTGCTAGAGGGAAGGGAAGGACGGGAAGATTGGTGCTCTCAGAACCTTCTGCTGATGGATTGCAGGATCCAGCCCTGTGTTATAGAAGATGCCAGAGCTTTCATGGTTAACATATGTGGATATAGTGTATCTAGATTTCAGTAAAGCATTTGACAAAGTTTCTCATGATATCCTTGAGGATAAGCTGGTTATGTGTGGGCTGGATGGTGCAACCGTTGGATGGATTCATGGTTGGTTGAAAAATCGTACCCAACGAGTGCTTGTAAATGGCTCTGTGTCTACGTGGAGGGAAGTCTCAAGTGGAGTGCCTCAGGGCTCAGTCCTCGGCCCGGTGTTGTTCAGTGTTTTTATAAATGACCTGGAGGAAGACATAGAGGGGATGCATATCAAATTTGCAGATGACACGAAGCTAGGTGGGATTGCTAATTCTGAAGAAGACAGAGTCAGGATTCAAAATGATCTAGATAGCCTGGAACAGTGGGCTGAGACAAATAATATGAATTTCAATAGAGATAAGTGCAAAGTCCTACACAAAAAATCAAAGGCACAGATATAGAAAGGGAGGGACTTGGCTTGACAGCAGCACATGTGAAAGGGATCTAGGTGTTCTGGTTGATCACAAGCTAAACATGAGCCTGCAGTGCGATGTAGCTGTGAAGAAAGCTAATGCAATCTTAGGATGCATTAACAGAAGCTTTGTGTCCAGATCACAGGAGGTGGCAGTTCCGCTCTATTCTGCTATGGTCAGGCCTCAACTGGAGTACTGTGTCCAGTTTTGGGCACCACATTTTAGGAAGGATGTTGACAATCTCGAGCATGTCCAGAAGAGGGCAACCAGGATGGTGAGAGGGTTGGAATCCAAGTCTTATGAGGAAAGGTTGAAAGAGTTGGGTATGTTTAACCTGGGAAAGAGAAGGCTTAGAGGGGACATGATTGCAGTCTTCAAGTATTTGAAGGACTGTCATGTAGAAGATGGAGCACATCTATTCTCTCTTGCTCCGGATTGCAAGACTAGATCTAATGGGTGGAAATTACGAGGGAGTCGTTACCGGCTAAATATCAGGAGAAACTTCCTAACTGTAAGAGTGGTTGAGCAGGGGAACAGTCTGCCTCGAGAGGTGGTGGATGCTCCTTCGCTGGACATTTTCAAGCGGAGGCTGGATGACCATCTTTCGGGTATGTTGTAGGTATGTAGGGCTATCTTTCAGCTATGCTCCTGCAGAGTGCAGGGGGTTGGACTAGGTGACCTGCATGGTACATTCCAACTCTAACATTCTATGATTCTAATTACCGTAGGCTTGAAGTTGAGGCTCAGAGTTGCAGAGAACCAGCACTGATTTAAGGATAGAGATTACATGCACAGTATTTTGAATTAAAATGGGGAAGGGGACAGAAGAGGAAGCAAGGAGAAAACAGCCAAAACCTAGACAAGATGGACTGGCAAGATTTTTGGTTTAATTCCCTTGGGTGACTGAAAATATGCTGTGTATGCCAGAAAATCTTTTAAAACCATATCTTCAATTTAAAAGGCATTCTGTTACACAGAGCTTCTTCTAAAAACGTTGAAAAGTTACTATTAGAGTTATGCATAACCTCACTCCCAACATTTTATAGTTGGCTTCACCTCCTAAAGCAGCCATGTTATGGTTGGCTCCACCTCTGGAGGCAGCCGTGTTGTGGCTGTGCCTCCTACCCTGTGTCAGCATTCCACAAGTGCCCACTCTCAAAAAGATTGGGATTCCTGATCTAGTTAACCATTTTGGAAAACCTTTGTATCTCAAATGTCTCCATAAAATATACTGCTGTTTATGTTTTTTTCTGACACTTAGGTCAGGTTATTTGCCCCCAGGCGGGAGGAAGTCCAGATGTGTCAGGTGATAAAATGATGCTCACTTCACAGGAATCCAACAGCCAAGCTTCTTTGAAATCCATGTTGGTAATAAGTGGAGGAGAAGGATACATTGACTTCAGGATGGGTAAGAACCTTGATCTTATCAGGTGAACCATTTGCTTTGATCCACTCAGTAAAATGTGAGTTTCTTTTCTCATTGAATTACAAAGTTGGCTTGATTTGAGGATGTTTCTAAATCTCCTTTGACTCTGTTTAGAAGAGGAAGAGCATATAGACTGTCTTGGTTTTATCTGTGATTTTGTATTTTCTTTGGCTTATAGAAAACTTGGGTATGCATCACTGCCAATTTACCCGGGCTAAATGATCTGCAGCAGTTTCTTTATTGGAACATAGTGCCCCGAACCTCCCCTGTGGGCTTTTTTCAGTGGAGGGTGTTGTCAGCAGTGGTGAGGTTTTACTGTCCTTGCCCTCCAACTATATTTTGGATTGCAATTTTCTTTGTGTCATAAAACTCAATGAGAACCATTGGGAACTGAGACAATCCTATCAGTATAACCCTGCCCCAAGTTTGTTTCCTGTTCACGGTAATAGTGTGACACAGAGAGATGTTCATTTAAAGTATTTACTCAAATGCAGGGCTAGTTTTTTTCACAGGTATGCCAGAAAAAATCAGGGGGTCATCTTACATTCACATACAAGTTACAGCCATGTCCAATAAAAATATTTTTGTTTATAACATTTTTAAGGGGGTCATCTTACATTTGAGTAAATACAAGTGTATTGTAATACAACTTGCTTTGTTGCCTCATGAATTCCCTCATCCTTTATCATTAATACAAAGAACTAGTGTGGTGGTTAGAATATTGGAATGGAACTGTTGAGACCCAGATTCAGCCCCCCCCCCCCCATTGTGCTATAAAGCTCACTGAATGACTGAATGGCCCACTCAGATCATTCCAGTCCAATTTACCTTTAAGGGTTGTTGTGAAGATGAAATGGTGGGGTGGCTGTGCCATCCTGAGCTCCTTGGAGGAAGAGCTGAATAAAAAAAATAATACAAACTTTTTTAAAAATCCAATTTGTTCTAACTTACGATAATTTGACATTTTGATTTCTAAATTCTTATCCAGGATTCTGTTGCCTTCTTTTCTTTCTGAAGGCTAATGCCTAAGAGCACAGTGCCAAGAGCCTCTGCAACAACAATCCCCCTAAGTGAGGGGCAGGCATCTGTTGTTCTTTGGAAGCCCTTCCCGGTTCCCTGCCTTTAACCAATATAATGGGAGGAAAGGATGGGAACCAAATGCCATGTTTAAAGTACTTTTACTGAGCTAGCCTGCAACTTGGTATAGTAAGAATGACATTTACATAGCTATGGTAGGGACAGTAGACAGCTTAGTATTCCTTGGTCGTAATTTTTATTAGAACATAGAAACATAGAGCTGGAAGAGACTCCAAGGGTCATCCATTCCAGCCCCTTGCACAATCACAGCCATCTCCCCCCACACCCTCAGTGACCCTTGCTCTATGCCCAGAGGAAGGCAAAAAACTTCCAGGATTCTTGGGCAAATCTGGTCTGGAGGAAAATTCCTTCCTTTTTTATTTTTGAAAATTCCTTCCTAACCCCAAAGTGACAATTGGCATTACCCTGGACATATAAGAAAGGGCCACAAGAGCTGAACAGTGGCTCATCACTTCCTGCCCTCCCTCTCACAATCTGCCTAAATTTATAGAATCTGCATTGCCGTCAGATGGCCATCTAGCCTCTGCTTAAAAACCTCCAAAGAGGGAGAACCCACCACCTCCCAAGGAAGCCTGTCCCACCGGGGAACTGCTCTGACTGTCAGGAAGTTCTTTCTAATGTTTAGCCGAATATTCTTTTGATTTAATTTCAACTTTCTGGGGCAACAGAAACAACTCTACTCCGTGCTCTATATGACAGCCCTTCAAATACTTGAAGATGGCTATCATGTCAGTCTCAATCATCTACTCTCCAGACTAAACATACCTAGCTCCAGACCCCTCACCATCTTTGTCACCTTCCTCTGGACATGTTCCAGCTTGTCGACACCCTTCTTAAACTGTGCTTCCCAAAACTGAACACAGTACTCCAAGTGAGGTCTAACCAGAACAGAGTAAAGTGATACTATCACTTTGTGTGATCTGGACACTACTTCTGTTGATGCAGAACATGGCAGCCCTTCCTGTATCCCTATCAGTTGCATTAGTATGTTCCCATGAAGTATTATCTCTGTTTTCCAGGTGATGAAGTTGGTGAATCCGAACTCCTCGGAGAGGCACTACAACTTGAGCCTTCTGTAGCCAAAGCAGAGAGGAGCCACCTGATAGTGTGGCAAGTAATGTGTGGCAATGAATAGCACCCCCAGCTCTGTGGAAAGTGGCTCGAGACTTCAAAAACTTTTTGCATGTCTTTGGTTTTCATTTTATTTTTTGCAAAACCCATTTCACTGCGTACAGTCTGAGCATTCCTTTGCCATTTGGCTTTATATCACAAACCTCTCAAACCTTAACAATACAGGAATTGGCTCATGCTGTTTTACTGCATCAATGTTATGTAGCAAAAAAAGATCTGTTTCCCCTAAACAAACAGAAGCTCTGCAGCTTTACTGTATTGCACCGTCTCTGTCTGTAGCAGAATTTGTCATTTGACAGTCAGTTTTTTACCACAAATTGATTTTAAATGTTAGAACATCTTTTGTTCATCTGCAGAACATTTACTGAGTAAAACAGCAAAGTTACTTTCAGCAAAGTATTTTAAAAATATCAGCTGAATTATAATCAAGCTTCATTCTGCACATTCAATGAGGGCTAAAACGAGTTATGTCTTTACATGGTTGTTTTGAAATCCTACCAGTCTTGTTTACCTCACTGTACTGAAATGTCCTTTGCTCATATCAGAACCCTGAAAAAGGCAGAGGTGGTTATATAGACACAGACCAATAATAACTTGTTTCATGATTAATTATTGTAATATGCAAGATGAGAAAGGCACTGTCCCTTGATGGTGAGGGTCATGTCTTTTGTGGGAAGAATCTTTTCATGCTTCCCTTCCTTTTACGTTGGGAACGTTTAAAGTAATCTCAAAGGACAGGTTTAGGATGATTTTCAAACTACATTTCTGTTCCTTGAGCAGAGGTCAGATTGTTTTTGGCACATCTTTCATCTTGGACCTTAGTTGGTCAGTTTCATGGCCCCTTGTATAGAAGGGCTGCAGCAGTAGAAGAAAATCAGCTGGAAGCCCCAATGGCTCATATTACGGGGGGGGGGGGAGTAGAAAATAGCCCTAACAGACCTAAAATGCATTGTTTTTCATTAACTAATTAAGCTCTATGTTACATTTTTCTTCTGTGAACTGAATAAGCAACAGACTGGCAATTACTTGCATATTTGAAGCCACATAACTTTATGATGCCATTGTACAGGGTCTGAGAGTCTCTTCCAGAGTTGGAGGATACCAAGAAATAGCTTGGCAAAACTCAGCTGAATGCTACACTTTTGAATTCCCTAAAAGATAGAAAATCTTCCCAATACTATTCCATATCTTGTAAAGTATGAATTAAAAGATTATTATTCAGCTAGTGCCCACCAAGAGACTGGGGCTATTCCTATTAGATGGGAGCTGATAATATAGTTAAGTGACAATGGGAAAAGTTCAAAAGTGTTTAAAAACAAAACAAAAATGAAATAAAATTAAACTGCCTTGAAAAACTGCCTAAACATTTTATGCAATAAGCTGAGGTCTATTGTGTAAATATTTATTTAGGCAGCTTTTTTAAAATGTGCATCTTACCTGATAAAATTCAGCAAAACTCCATTCAGGTCTCATGGGTATAGATAGGTTTATATGTAAAAGTACTTTTTAAGAGCATATTTTATACACAACTGGTTGGTTCTGGTCAGTATATATTTAGGCCTTCATGTGTGGTTAAAAATCAAGTCTAATACCTTGGTAGTAGAATTTTTTTCTGCCAGTTTGCCAAAAGCAATGAGTGATCACAGTTTACTCTCAAAATTTTTAGCTTGACTGAACTGTTCTTAGAAAATTCAGATCCAGAGGATCATGTGGCTTTATTATCTTGCTTTTTTTTCAAATAGCAATCACACATACACCAAACTCATGCTGAGTTGCAACTTCAAACACTTTTTTAGATGAGAGAGATTAAAAATAAATTTGGAAGATGGTGTTCAGCAGAAAAACAAAAAACAAAGAAGCCTTCACAGCATATGACTCAAGATGCATCTTTAGGGTTCTTTGTTGTCCTCTAAGCTTTCCAAGCTCTGTATGGAGCTCTTCATCTTGGATATCCAGATGAAACTCTTGCTATTTCTTCACAGTAGTGTGAGCCTGTTACTTGGGGCACTGCGCACCCCCACCCCCCATGCACACACACTTTGGGTAGTGCTTTTATTTAAAATGATTGTATTGTTTCTCTGAAGTGCTTCACTGCTTTCAAACAGATACATCTGGGCAGCATATTAACGTCTTACCAGATCTATTGGGTGAACTGCCATTCTGTTCTCTTTGGATCAACTGCTATTTACAGTAAAAGAGATGAGAGTTCAGCGGAGACTTCAGTGCTATTATCAACACAAGTGGGAGACTGACATACATTCTCTTGCCCTTACTTAATTTTAAAATGTAGCCCCTGTTCTAAGGAATAGCCGATTTAGAAGGTGGGAGTCATCACCATTCACTGAGATTTATACACTTCCTGTTGCCAAGCACTTTTAAGGGAAGGTTGTAAACATGGTAATCTCATGCATCAGGTGATTGCCTGAAACACAGCCTTGAGAATGTCTTATGTTATCACATACTCATAGTTTTAAAAAAATCAGGGCTGGGAATGAATCTCTTGGTAGTTGACAGTTTTATTAATAGTTTGAGAGAGCATTTCGAGCACAAAAATATGCGGCACATGGTTTGTCTGAGGTAAATGTGTCTTGCATGGTAAAAGGCAAAAGAGAATTTATATATCCTGCCATACTGTTCATTTCTTGTAAGGTCTTCCTGCGTTGGATCAGTTAGAACTGGCAGAGTGTAGACACTTTATCATAGGCTGCCTTAGTAACTCAGAAATGTTTTATAATTTCTAATATGCTAACTGTTCTAAAGAACACAGTGTCTTGAAGATAATGTGTAACTGAATATTTATTTCCAAGTGAGTATTATGAAAGTTACCAAAGGACTGAAACTGACTTGGCACTCTTGCAATTGACCCTTGTGCATACAGGATCTCGTGAAGATCTTAAATGTGTACAAATGACACAGAATGGAGAGAACACATTCTTTGTGGATGCTAACTTTATTTTCCTAACAGGGTTATGCCATATTGTAACAGTCTATGTTGCACCTCAAAATATTGTTCTATACACTAAATGTTTTTCTTCCCTTCTAATAATTTCATTGCTGCACATTTCTCAGTCTTTTAAACATGTTTTAAAACCTTTTATGGTCTTTACTTTTTTTGGAAAATGTCTAGACACTTTATGCTGAATCTTACTTGCCTCTGTAACCTTGAGATGGATACTGCAGCGTTAAACTTGCTGTCTGTTTAAAATTTGAGGCTTCTTTTCTGTGAGCCAGAAAAGCTCACGTAGCAGTGAAGTTATTTCAGTATTTATTATTGAATCCTTGGGGGTTCAGAATGTAACTTTGTACATGAAATATATATATAAATATGTATATGAAACACACACTTGTCTTGGCATCTTTCTTGCAAACCCAGTGAGCACAGATTATGGTCATTAAAGGTGTATCAACATGGCTAAAATAAGCTTTTTGTCAAAGCAAAGCAGCACAGACCACAAACTTGATCTTATATGTTGGGTATTCTTTAGCAGCATTGCTTGTATTGAATTAAGAGGACATGACTGATCTCCAAACTCAACTTCAGCAAAACTGAAGATAATAATCATCACATTGATACTTAAAAAGATAAGATTACAGTATTAGTTGTGAGCAGCGGTTGATGGTCTGTAATGCCTGTTTGTTCATATCAGTAAAAGAGAAGGAGGACTGTTGGATTTTGGGACTGGGTGTTGCAGTGGCCTCCAGGCAGGTTATTGTTCCACAGCACGAACAGTAATTACATCAGCATGTGGTTAGATTTTGAAAGCCTGATATCCAGCCAGCCTTCATTCCACAGGGTGTCCTTCTGTGACGCCTCTTCCCCACTCAAACAGGGTGCCAACCACCATCTACACCCTCTCTTACTGACGTTATGGGTTAGAAGTAGGTCAGGATGTTACATTCACCACCCTTCTTGTCTCCTTTAAAATCTACAGAGAGGCATGACCATCTCACACCTCAGGTCCTCTCTCTCACTCCCAGAGACATCCACAGACAGGGTAGCTCAGCCCCCTTTAATAATCAGCCCTCACTCACACAGAGCTATTGGGGTTGGGGCTCAAACACTGTTACAATCACTTGCTGCCACCATTCATTCATATCCTATAATGTATGTATGTAGACTGAGATATTAAATTGTTTGTGTGTGTGTGTGTGTGTGTTTCTTTCCTTTAGACGTGGAGCCCACAGAGTTAATAAAATAAGAAACTTTTATTTATGATAAGAACAGAATGTTGAGGATAGTAAAGTATAAGAAACAACGTTCACTTCCATTGAACTTTTGAATTGAGGTCCTAGTCCTACAACTGGGATCCTTTAATTACAAATTTACTATTCTCCTTCAGTGGGGGAAGTCATCCAGACTGGTTAGGTCACGCCGCCTCTTGCTCCAAGCAGGGCTATGCAAATTTGTGTAGACTGTATTTGCTCAGAGTGAGGCTGACCCTTCGATTTCAATAGCTCCGCCACTCCAGCAGGACGCTTGAGCCTAGCTCCGCTTTCTTGGAGACTCTTACCTTATTGGTAAGGAAGATGGGAAAGCCTTGAAGAAAAGCCCCATTGCTGGTCTTAAAAAAAGAAAGAGAGAGAGACCATTAAGACAAGCTTCTCCTGCTTGAGGTTCCAGGCATCAGAGACTGGCCAACAGCAGATACATCTACAGCAGCACAAGCCACTGTCAGTGCTGGCAGACCCAAAACTTTGTGTTGTTCCACAGCCAGCCCCCTGACTGTACAGGAAAAGCCTGGCAGAGATCTACCGAGTCTGAGCCTAAACCCGCTCTCTTGGAGTCTCTTTGTTGGTATGGAAGATGGAAAGGCCTTGAGGAAGGGCCCCATTGCCAGTCTTAGAAAGAGCAGGGAGGCAGTTGAGACAGGCCTCTCCCACCTGAGGCTTCAGGCATCATAGACTGGCCAGTGGCGGATGCATCTGCAGCAGCATGGGCTGCTGTCAGTGCTCGCAGACCCAAGGCTTTGCGTCATTCTACAGCTGCCCCCTAACTGTGCTGGAAAAGACCAGCAGAGCTCTACTGGGTCCAAACAACCATGAGGAGATTGTAGTGGGTGGCCTGCCCCATACAGACTTGAAGCCTTCCGGGCCTACAGGGAGCGAGAAGATTGGAGCTGAAGGTGAGACCCCCCCTCCCCCAAGATACATTGGGGCAGTGTGATAAGGACCTTCAACATGAACAAGGGGCCAATCCAAGCAGGGGTGGCAGTGCAGCAGTGCAGTTTCCCCTCCCTCAAGCCTCTCTGAGGCCTTTCCCAGCAGGTCCAGCAGTCTGGAAAATGCTCAGGTTTCCCTGCCTTTTTTCATTTCCCTGCATTTTTCTGCCCTCCCTCCATAGGTTGGAGGACATGGGCCTTTAGTCTGGCCTGGGCCTTCCCCCAACCCCATGTGTATGCAACCAAGAATAAATCATGTTGGCCTTTCTGTGTCTAGGAGTACCTGGCCAAACTGGCTGTGGCTGATCTAGCCCATAAGTACACTAGCACCGGTGACATCAGGAGCTTTTGAGAGCTATTCAAAAGAGATGTTCCCTTTCTCCCTCATCATCCATGTCAGGCTTGAATTTGGGAGTGGAGGAGCTGCTTTCAACCATAGGATCTATGGCAACATGCTCTTATAAAGAAGTGATATGGTCAGAAAATTCACCTAGGCCTTTCCTAGGGTAATTCTTCTAGGCCTTTCCAGCCAGAACATTTCTGGAGATCAAAAAGGTGCCTTTTCCTTCTCTTAACTACCAATTGGATAAAACAAAAATCTAGAACATCAGCTTCAACCAACTGAGATACTAGAGGTTTTAAGAGACCATCCAAAGGGTCCTCAGTTTGTCCATTCTCAGTTCTAGGCAATGGTACTTTCTTGCAGGCAACATGGAAGACCTCAGGTCCCTCTGCTCCAGTAGTAGTCTTACATTCAGGAGCAGTTTTGCCTAAAGATATGGACAACACATTTAAGGATTCAGTGGATAAAAACAATAATCATGAGACGGCCCTAGGGGATCCCATGAAGCAAGCCTCTCTGACAATCTGAGCCCACAAAGTGCTCTCAAATTTCACCAGGGCCATCATGGTTTTGGCTGATAACCTCCTTCAGGAGCCAGACACTGACCCCTTGATGCTTAAGAGATCCGTCCTAAAGATTAAAAGGTCTGCAAAATTTGCAGCAGACGCATCCCAAGAGGCCATGCAATTTGGTGCCAGGGCACAGGTCACCAATATAGTGGTAAGAAGTAACCAACGGCTAAAGCATTGGAAGGTGAACCCTCTGTCTATTTCAGATTTATCCACATTAAAATACACACAAAACAAAAACAAAACGTTTTTTAGGAGCTCCTGAACTTTTGGCTGTAGGTCTAGATTTCAGCACAGTTCTCTCCTAACAAACAGAACAGGAACCAACAAAACAAAGATCCAACCACCTGACTATATGGTTGGGGGTCGATTCCAGCAGTCTCCACATCTGGATGGAGTCTATGACTGACCAGTGGGTACTCTCCATCATCTGGAAGGGACACAGGATAGAATTTCCCTCCCCCCCACATTGCTTTTGTGCTTCCCCACTTCCTAAGACAGAACAAAGATGCTTTTCTTCTGTCGTGACCTATTCACCATTTAGTGCACATAGGGGCAGTGGAACTGGTACCTTTAGAACAGCATTTCCATGGGATTTATTCCATTCTATTTGTAGTCCCAAAAAGATCTGGGGATTGGAGAGCCACTGTAAATTAGAGAGAGTTGAAGCTATGGGTAAAGAAGGGCAAGTTCCAATTTGAATCATTTCACTGAATTCTGCAGAGTATTCAGCAGAACAATTACATGATGCTTACCTGCATATCCCAATTGACCCAGACAGTTCTGCCCTTGTTTTCAGCCCTTTGGGCTCTCGTAATCTCTGTGGGTGTTTCACAAGGTCCTGGTAGTTCTAATAGGCTACCTATGACAACAAGAAATCCACCTTTATCCTTCCCTAGACGATATCCTCCACAGAGACAGGAGGCAGAGGAGGTGAGCTAGGACACCAAGTCCACTATGCAATCTCTTCAAGCACACGGCTGCCTGATCAATGTTTTTTTTTTTTTTAAAGTAATCTCATACCCTCCAGGGAAATAGTCCACTCGGGGCCAAGATTCAGACAAGGAAGAAGCAGGTAAAATTGATGGAAGGGGTGAAAGAAATCTGGCAGAGGTCGGTGGACCTCATGGACCGGTTGGCAGTACCGGGTCTGATGATATAGTCCATAGATCGGATTCCTTGGGCGCGCTTCCATGCCAGGCCTTTACAATGGACTCTTCTTCCTTATCAGAAGGACACACACACACAAAAGTGGAGCACAAATAAGTCAAGATACTCCCCCCCCCCAAAAAAAAAATCACTAAGCTAGCGGTCTTCACAACCAAGTCTGACAAGGGGAGTCAGTTTCCTCCAGCTTCCTTACCTGATGGTAATTACAGACACCAGCCTAAGGGGCCAGGGAACACCCTGCTAGGATCTGATTGTCTAGGGCAGATGGAGTCCATTGGAAGAAATGAACTGGCTGGAACTTGGGGCAATCAGACTAGCACTGATGGAGGGGCGGGCGTTGAGCCGCCATTGGATATGGCTGCTTAAACTGACGTACCGCTTATCCCACTCCCTAAACTCCCTCAGATAAACACAATTTATTATCAAATATTGTCAAAATGTGAAAAAATAATGGTAATCCCACCGGGGTACCAAAACTAATAACAACACAGACTGTTCAATCTCCCAGTACGTCAACTAGTAGGAGCTGAAAGCATCGGACCTCGCAACGGCGAAAATGGCTGATGAGAACTCAATCGCACGACTGCTGGAGTGTGCTTTTGACAAACAAGATATCCCGGCAATGTTTGAACACCTGGAAATCAGACTAAGCAAAAAAATATCTCAATCTATCCAACCGATAAGGGAACAGCTTCAGGACATACAAAGTACACTAAAAATCACAACACAAACTGCAGAAACGGCGTTGAAAATGGGCTCTGCAATGAAGGCGGACATCCAAGATCTCTGCAGGTCTGACGCACAAACTAAGGACAGGCTGATTTCAGTTGAATCGCAGTTCAAACAACTGAACTTAAAATTAAGAGGGGTGCCCGAGGGGGTGGAGGAAGCAGGGAGTACAACTAAATTTACAAAGGAATGGCTGAAAAATATCCTAAATCTTGAGTCTCCCACAGAGCTGAATATAGTAAGGGCATTTAGACTAGGCTCGTTATTGAA